CTTGACTGAAATTGATAATGAGAATCGGTTAAGAACAAAACTTTACATCAAAAGAGATGATTACAATTTTCCCATTGTGACTTTCCATTATTACGTACTTATATATTACAGATGCACCTGCACATGGAGTATATATATACCAGTTGAAACGATATTACAGGGCTTGCGTCTCCTATCATAATTTCCTTAATAGAGGGTTTCTGCTTACATGGAACTCTTTTACGGACGCCGTCATGAATTGAACAGCCGTTATATAATCTCTCCCCCTTTTTTTTTAGAAAATAGTTCACTTAGTAATATAATATGTCTATCCTAAATTGAGGTAAATTATATGGCCTTCCAAATACCGTTTCGATTCCTAACATCACTGAAGAGACATCAATTGTCGAAATCCGGATATGGTGTACAAATTTTTGCACCTCATGTTTGCGGTATACCATCTTTTCCGCAAGTTTATTGTTTTCTGTTTGGTATTAAATTAATTATAAAGATCCATTCTGCTACATCTTGTGATCCGTTTATTTGGCAATCGCCAATGGCAGTCAGCAGGGTTTAAGAACATCCGTTGTTCGACCTGTTATTCAAATGCGTTTTGTTTAAATATACTTTTTCACTTTTTTGGTCTTTTGGAAAATGTTGTTTGTGCTGTATTTAGACCCCTCTACCAAGAAATTTGTTTTACATGCACACGTATAAAAATTGCGGTTTTTATCCAACGCAATCATAGGTTTGAACGTTTTCAATTTAGACTTGTTTATATTTTTTCGTTTGGGCTTGTATTATATTTGCCTTCGGGTTTATATGATCCGTTCATCCTATTTTGACTCCTCAAAATTCAAGAGTCTATCCTAAAGTGAGGTAAATTATGGCTTTCCAAATACCGTTTCGATTCCTAACATCACTGAAGAGACATTAATTGTCGAAATCCGGATATGGTGTACAAAAACCTTTGCACCTTTTGTTTGCGGTATACCATCTTTTCCGCAAGTTTATTGTTTTCTGTTTAGTATTAAATTTATAATTAAGATCCATTTATTACATCGGTGATCCGTTTATTTGGCAATCGCCAATGGCAGTCAGCAGGGTTTAAGAACATTTGTTGTTCGACCTGTTAGTCAAATGCGTTTTGTTATAATATACTTTTTCACCTTTTGGTCTATTAGAAAATGTTGTTTGTGCTGTATTTAGACCCCTCTAACAAGAAATTTGTTTTGCATGCACACGTATAAAAATTGCGGTTTTTATCCAACGCAATCATAGGTTTGAACGTTGTTTTCAATTTAGACTTGTAACTGCGAGTACTCTCAGATCTGTACTTAGTGTCTTTTTTTGTTGTTAGGGATGAGGGATGGATATATACCCTGCTACGTCCTGTCTGTGTTTTTGTTTGATGTTTGTCTTTGTATCTGATGAGTAAATTAAGCCTTTTTCAGCTGATTTTTATAGCCGACCATACGGTATGGGTTTTTCTCATCGTTGAAGGCCGTACTGTTGCCTATAATTGCTTAAATCCACTTCATTTGAACTTTGGAGGATAGTTGTCTCATTGGCAATTATATTACATCTCCTTATTTTTATATCAATCGGTACACATCCAACGGATTTAATGTAAAGACGTCATAAACAGTCTGAGAAACGCACGGCCTTGTGCAATGCCAAACATATAACAGCATCGGCAGGATGTAGGATCAAGAGTTCGCATAACTGTACATATAGCAATATAAATTTTATTATGTTTTAATTTTTCAATAACTGTTGACACAGAGATATATCGCGCGTTTTGTAATTTTGATGGTAAAATGCAAATGTAGAAATTAAAACATGTAAACTATTCAAATTATTTAATGTCAATGAAACATGACTAAAGATGCAGGTCCAAATAACCTCCATGGAAATATGAAATGCCAATGCTTATAAAAATGCATACAAAATACCTTTGACTTATGATAAGTGGTTCCCTTTAAACCAACCTAAACACACACTTTAACTTGCACACTATGTAAAAGTTTCAAAGTCAATGAACCATGATGAAAGGGTGGACCATATGATATACTTTGAAATGACACTTGCAAATGCCAAAACAACTGCATACCTAATATTAATACCTTAACATTAGTCGTTCATCTTAAACTGGTCTAATCACAAACTTTAACATGTAAATAATGCAAAACATTCGAAGTCAATGAACTATGACTGAAGGAAAAGGGGGCAAACAATCTCCATGGAAATGAGATGTGCCAATGCTAAAACATCTGCTTACCACATATCATTGACCTACCACTAATAGTTCCCCTTAAACTAACCTAATCAAAAACTAATACATGTAAACAAGCAAAATTTTAAAAGGTAATAGACCATGGCTAAGAGGGGCGGGGCAAAATAATCACCATATAAATGAGATGTGCCAATGCTTATACAGCTGCATATAAAATATCATTATCCTACCACTAATTGTTCCCTTAAAACTGACATAATCCCAAACTTAAACATGTAAACTAAGCAAAAGTTTAAAAGTTAATAGACCATTACTGAGGGGCGGGCCAAATAATCTCTATGGAAATGAGATGTGCCAATGCTAATACAACTGCCTACCAAATATCATTTACTATGGTGGCCGGATGCGGCCATTTCACCTTTTCGCGTTTTCGCGTTTTCTCCTTTCACTTTGCAAACGCGAAATCGCGAAATCGAGAAATCAGGGAAATCGGGAAATCGGGAAATCGGGAAATCGAGAAATCGAGAAATGGAAAAAGTCGGGAAATCGGGAAATCAGGACATCGAGAAAACGAGAAAGCGAAATTGGGAAATGAAATAGATTTCTCGATTTCGCGTTTTCGCTTTCCCGATTTCTCGATTTCTCGATTTCGATTTCTCGATTTCTCGATTTCTCGATTTCCCGATTTCCCGATTTCTCAATTTCTCGATTTCGCGTGAAAGTGAAAGGAGAAAACGCGAAAACGCGAAAAGGCGTAATGGCCGCATCCGGCCACCATAATTTACCTACCACTAGTGGTTCCCCATCACAAACTAATAAATTGTTAACGCCGCCGTCGGAAACAGCATGCCTAAGTCCCGCTTTATCGACTTCGTCGACGTGAGACAAGCACAAAATCAATGTTAGTACCGAGAAAAACAATATTTAAAGATTTTACTTCTGTGTTAAATTGATAACCTTGTAGAATAAGGTCTGAATGTATCTGGTGTCTGTGGGACCTCAACTTCGCACTTGGTTTGGCCTTTTAACTTTTTTGATTTGAACGTCACTGATCATCGGAGTTTTTACGAAAAGCTCATCTAGTGTACACAAATATAAGCCTGGTACCTTTGATGTGTTTTTGTTATAAAGAATATATGGCCAACTGACGATTGATATACGTAAACAGGGGCGGATCCAGGATTTTGGAAAGGGGTGCGTAGTATTTAAATTTTTTTAGACCTTTTTTGGGGGCTAAAAAACATAAAATAAGTGTAAAATGCACATTTTTAACGGTTCCTGACGTGGGGCATGTATATTTTATAGTTAAAGTGTAAGCTAGGGTTGTACATTTTTGATGCCGCATTCTCCCCATTAATTGTCTATTATAAAATGACTGAATGGATCCAAAGCTATGTACAACTAATATATTTGATGTGGGATTTGTCAGTAAAAAATGGACATAGAAAATTCTCGTTTGTTGTATGGTTAGTTAGCATAACCTCACAGATTTCTTTTTGTAAACATGTATGATGATATGCGGCTATTCAATGAAGTTTATAATACGACCGACACGAACAAAGACAAACAAGCATTTTTTATCCAAATGTTTGGTTGAAATGTTTCACCCAACAAGGGAAGTGAGGGGTTCCAAATCAACCAAAGGCTACGAATGAGTCTGAAAATCAAATGACAACGAAGTTGTGAATGACGGTCGACAAATGGAGACAGGCCACACCCAGCAGGCAGGTTGCAGTTGGGCCTCGAAAAAAGTATTCAGTATATCAGTTCGGCGAAACAGACATTTCGGTCAGATATGGGATTTACATGCAAACCCCCCAAAAAATATACGCCCGTTTTTTTATTCACCATGTTCATTTAATGCTGAATAATTCTGTTGGATTTTTTTTTCTGATAGCAAAAAGGGGACACGAGAATTGTTTTCAATACAGATACGGCCAGAATTTTTGTTTAAGGCAAAAATCAGGGTCAGAATTTTTTCTCTAAAATATCTCAGACTGCCCTATCAAATCAAATGGTCCGTACCTTAGACTTTAAATCTATCTAGAGCTTACTGACTGGGGATCACTATTCAGCAATGTTATTAATTGGCTGGGGCGTCTGGGGTTAAACATATTTTTGTAGGTAAATAATATTGCTGTGGAACTTTTTTTTCATGAGAATGTAATAGAGTATTACTTTCTGTTGAGTGGAATTGTGAAATAGAAGTCAATACGTGGTTCTTGTTCAATCCTTTGTCGCTTTGAAAGAGTCATGCTTGTCATCCTCCGCCGAAAGCAATGTGTTACTGTAATTTAAATTTCAAAATGACTGAGTGACGTTTTTTTCGACGTACTGATCAACTCCAGCGTAGCGAATCACATGACTTTGACATAATCAATAATATATTACAGTAAATACGAGCGAAAAATATCTTTATAAGTAAAGAATTGTCGCATAAAAATTAAATACACGGCCGGGTAATGGCAAAGTTCACGAAGTCTAGTCTGATTAATCATTTTACAAAAAAAAAAAAAAAAAAAAATCATGCAAAGGGGGGGCGTACGCCCTCTACGCCCCCCTCTGGATCCGCCACTGGTAAACAAAAATCATGAAACTATTTTGTGCTTTTTTATAATTTTAACAACGATTTATCACAAGAATTCAAATTTTGTCGCAATAAATATCGGTTCTTTACTCGATTTCACAATGGAAAATTCGTTCGATATGTCATGATATTAAAATACATAATTTACGGCTCATCAGATTACAATTGTGATTTAAATAGAAAAGGGGGTGAATCCATCCGAAATGTGACATATATCTATCAAGCGCTTAACAAAGTGTTATATCAGATAAGCTCAATTACCCCATTGTTTGCCAAAACTTGGTACTTGAATAAGCATTTAAACAAGAGAATATAAACATTGTCGACCTGCTACACATCAGCTGTTTTGAAAGGGAAACTTTCAGGTAAGTACACTAATTAAGTTTAAATGAAAAATTGTAAATTAAACGTTTTACATACAACATCAATTATTGCTAGCTTTATATATGTACAAGATAGTGATGTGTTTGCGCCAATTTGTTCAATATTTTTTTTCTCAGCAATCATTTTAGTTCTCTTTGGTCTTAACTTGTATCATCATCCCAAAGAAAATGGTTTAAAATTGTCTTTATGTGTTTGGGATAAAATATAAATGTATTGAAAAATCTATCGCCATACAAGATCATTTACAATTAATAAGTCATAAGAGTTATTATACGATAGTTGTTTAACTTGTAGCAAAGGAATTTTTCTAGTTTCCATTGCCAAACACTGTCATTTCAAGTTTCCAAAAAAAGAAACAATTTGAAAGAAGAAATTTTATGAAATACAGTATTGGTTTCTAATTCGAGATGTACTAACTTAAAGCAGTTACCGATAATTATTATAGCATGCTCAATATACAATCTATAGATATTTAAACCTGCTATTAAAGGACATCAAACACAGACGTATATAGATATAATACAACCATCTGTCATGTTATATCTATGTCATTGTAAAATGAAAATGAAAAACCTACAAACCTAGTGGGCTGAACTTTTATGGTATTCAATCTTATTACTTAACACAAATTTTACTGCCAAATGGAACAAATATTTAACTGCCTTTTAAATTATATATTTGCATAAAGTATTCGGTCATCTTTAATACGTACTTACAAAGTATGCTTACTTTTAGAAGTAAATTTATTTCTTTGAACAAAGTCAAGTATGCTATAAATATTATTTTCATTATAGCCTTTTTCTGACCAAACACTTACTAGTTTGTATGGTTTAAGTGTCACCATAACATAGTCTTTCATTTGCATTTGACAGCATTCTTATTTGACCTGTTTTCATTACAGACTCATAAAAACATGGGGTTTGATGTGGACAGATTTTTGGAGACTATTAATGAAGGATTGTTGTGTTGCATTTGTCGTGACGTACTAGAGGACCCAGTTCAGGCTCCATGTGAGCATGCATACTGCAGAGCCTGTATTGGAGGGTGGTTGGTTCACGAAACGATTTGTCCAGAAGACCGAAAACCTCTATCATCTTTAAGTCTACGACCGCTTTTTAGATATATGAGGAATGACTTGAATCGACTTCAGATTCGATGTGAATTCTATCGTACCGGCTGTGATTATATTAGTGACCTGGAATTCATCCACGGACATCAGCAGGAATGTCCTTTTAAGCAAATCGAATGCACCAACGTGAAGTGTTCTACTCTGGTTATGAGAAAAGACCTGCAAGACCATTTAAAGACATGCCAGTTTCATGCCATGGAATGTCCGAGTGGTTGTGGTTATTTGATGGTTACTCCAGAGGACACGACTCATAATTGTATAACTGAACTAAAGACGGCAATGGACGTACTAAGATCTGAAATTTCATGTAAATACGAGGAACAAAAGAGAGAGATGGAACTTCGATTAAATATGCAACGAAGTCATATGGTTCAGAAAGAAGCAACAATGCAATCTCAGATAGAGGATTTGAAATCAGAAATCTCCAAGCTTTCACAGAAGTTGAAATTGATGATGGACCTGGAAATTCAAAGGAGACAAGATGTCGAGAAACTGGAACTTGAGAAAAGGGAATTAATGGAAGTGTTACGAGGTACAAATAAGCGGGAAAATGAACCATCCTCGTCTGCTGGTCCTAATGCTAGTGTCTCACATTGTAAACGATGTTCACCACTTCATGGAAAAGTAACAACAATATAATTCAAAGTGAACACATTGTACAAGACTCGCTTTAAGCAAATGAAAATACTTAGTGTGAGTTGAATATACATTTATTGAGTCTGATTGTACGATCGTTCCAATTTTGGATATGCATCATTTCTCTGCATTTTATCTTCAAGTATTCGATTGTATAGGAGAGTTATAATGCAAGAAGATGTAGTTGGTGAGGGTAAACGGGTTGTCTCTCACAGACATGATTCCGACATGGTACTTATATGAAATATTGAACTCTGATGATTCTTATTAATCTTTGAAATCCTGTTCTAATTGTATAATTTACACTAGTGGTCAGCGTCCTTCAAAGCAGTATTTACCCAAAGTAATTCAAAATCTTAGAATAAAATAACAGATCTAAAAGTTACACTATGAGCTTACAGCTCATAAGAACTTTTAGCATCACTGCGATTGGTAAATCGTCAGATGTTAAAAAAATTTACCCGTCAGATGGCAATAGTTAAGACTTTTTGTTGTTGCAAACTGAACACCCCCCCCCTGAAAAAACAAAACAAAACACAACAAAACCACAGCACGTTGAATGTCAAGAATCAATGTAAAAGTAATTATTTCTGATCGAACAAGTGAATTCTCAGTGTGGCTAGGTGTGTCAAATATGGAAAATAATCTAAAATATTTGTGGTATTTATAAAAGAATCTATCATCTGACAGTAATCCCCTCCATATGGTGAGTGATAACAGTAGGATCTAGTACGACATTATACCGTTCGTACGTTAACTGATATGACCTCATTTGACCTACAAACATACAATACCATATTGTAAGTTAAAGTCCAGAAATACTCTATATCATTGTGTACTTTATATGATGTAATAAATAATTTATTCATAGTTGTTTTACCTGCAATATACATTCAAACTAGGCCATATCTAGTAAATGAATCAGTAATTCAAGTCTAAAGAGCTAATTTTCTACTGTTGGTCAGGTTAGATTGATTAAGTTCGTTGTGCTTCAGGCTACAATATACGTGATTATTTCAAAATGCAAAAAGTGCTCTCTTTCACTGTTTGATTTCCATAAGGAGCTTGATATCAACGTAGACCCACACTGAATGTTGTTCAGTTCATTTCTCAGAAACCCATGGTGAAATATCAATGGTAGTGAAATGGTCCAGTTAAATTATTTGGATACCGAAATCTGCAATATGTTGGCAAGAAGTTGTATTACTATACAAATCCTTGATTTTGGTTGCCATAACTTTAGATTCATGTTTCAGTGACTTGTTATATTTTACATTTCTGTCTACATTCAGGACACCAGGAATCAATATGAAGAATAGCAATAATAGCACTTTTGGTATATGGTTATTTGCTAGTATATCATGTAAATGTTGTCTCAAGAATGTCCTTCTATATATTAATCTTTAACAGTAATTCTATCAGATTATTATACACAACAGTTCAGAACGTAAGTATCTGAATTAATACTTAGGTGAGTCTGGTTATACGCCCCCCCCCCCCCCCCCCCCCCAGAAACAAAGTGGGGGTATATAGGAATTACCTTGGCCGTCTGTCAGGAAAATCTGGATTATTACTATGTTCTTCTGTAACTCAAGGAAAACCTGACCATGTCTATGTTATTCTGTAAATAAGGAACAACATGGTCATAACTATGTTCTCCTTTAACAAAGGGACAACCTGATCATTACTATGTTCTTCTGTTACTAAGGAACAACCTGGCCATTACTGTGTTCTTCTGTTACTAAGGAACAACCTGGCCATTACTGTGTTCTTCTGTTAATAGGGAACTACCTGGTCATTACTTTGTTCTTCTGTAACTAAGGGACAACCTGATCATAATTATGTTCTTGTTACTAAGGAACAACCTGGTCATTGCTATGTTCTTCTGTAATTAAGGAACAACCTGGTCATTACTATGTTTTCTGTTATGAAGGAACCAACATGATCATTATTATGTTCTTCTGCAAACTCAAGGACAACTTGATCATTACTATGTTCTTTTGTTTCTAAGGAACAACCTTGTCATTACTATGTTCTTCTGTAACTCGAAGACAACCTTATCATTACTTTGTTCTTCTGTTTCTAAGAGATTCAACCTGATCATGACTACATTCTTTTGTTACTAAGAACAGGCAACCTTATGTTTCTGCTGTTCTTCTGTTACTGAGAAAGAACAACCTGATCATTACTATGTTCTTCTGTTACTAAGAAGGTACAAACTAATCATTACTTCTTTCTTTTGTCACTAAGAAGGATAAACCTGACCATGACTATGTTCTAATAATAATAAGACAAAGGATAAAACTAGCATTAGGAAAATCTGCATAAGCATATGACATACATAAAAGTCAAGTCAGAGAAACCCAATTATTGTAACTTGTATCTATATCTTCTAATGAGCTTAGAATTTATTCTAAAATTATAATTTGTTACTAGTTATTCCTCTTTCTGGGAAAAAGTACTTGTTCCCTGCCGATAAAGAGCAATGGTGAGACCAAGATATTCCCTGTTAATTTGCACATAATATTAGGTTTCAATAATTTTCTTAGAAAATATAAGGTATCAGATCATTAATTTAGAATAAAGTTTATACTTTTGGAAATGACCTTGGGAAGCACTACAAACTCCACATTGATGTTGTAAATATAAATGGCTTTAAATTAAACAATTTATGTTGTTACACATTTATTAAAATGAGACATCAATTCATGCTTTCAATAAAATTGGAAAGTTCTATAATCACTGACATCTGTAAAAATGGTCTTACAAAAGTGAAATTGAAAATTTCATTAACTACCCCCTCCTACAATGTTGTTGAAGAACTTGAAACATATAAAATCCTATTCATGTAAGCAGATGTAGTATGACGGTCAAAAATAAATATTTTTCAAATTTGATTTTGAAATATATTAACTAGGGGCCTGTCAAATTTATATCCCTTGAACTCTCACAAATAGGTATATATATGGAAATGTCCATGTTTTAGTATGGGAGCACCAAATAGCATTTAGAACATTAATGGAAATAAAAATCAAGTAACCTATTTGAAGTTGAGTTGAAAAAATATACAATGTATGGACAAATACATACCGTTAAACAAACAGACACAACAATCACTTAAGGGGTATAGTAAATCAATACACTAAACAAATTACTTCACAAGACTTAACAAAATGTACTGTCCTCTCATATTATGGACTCTTTTATTTTTTATAATATATGTGACCCAATCAAATTTTACAAGATCAGACATGATGAAGTATGGTAGAAACTCACTTACATGTATTGTGGAAGGAAATTTACATCATATACTGAGGACCGTTTAAAATTAAAAATTTTTGCGTAAACATAAAGAAGAACCTCCCCCTTAAAACAAAAAAAATATTTTTAGGGTCCAAATAGAAGTGCGTCAAGACCACAAATAACCCCCTCAGAGACATCCTGGCTACTGGCCTGTATTTTTTGAATATTCAAAACCAACACCAAAAACATGCATGTCTGTCAAATAGAAATTTATTCATTTTGGTTCTGGCTGTCTCTCAAAGAAAAAAATTGGCAATATACTAACAAAAGTGGATTAACTGGCAAAATTTAGGCCTAAATGATGATTTTATTTTATAAGTATATCCAATAATTTTGACAAGTCCCTTAGGTAGATAATGCAGACATCCAATGAAGTTTCATAGATTTTTTGATACATGTAAATGAACAAAATAATGTAAATGACACAGACTCTTCTCGATATGAAGATATTTTAATGAAAAATTCTTATTTCATAAAATCCTATTTGATGAGTTATCCTGAATGTAGACATCTTATTGTCTGTATAAACAATGTCTTTTATTTTGTAAATGATCGTACATGTCTGGATGGATTGTGTTCATCTCTTCTGCCATAAAACTGTGACGAGTTATTAAATCTGAAATGAAAACAACCAATTTAACATTGACATTATACGAGCAATCAAAAGCTGCATTTATTCAACAATACAAAAAAACAAGAAGTATTTGTACAAGTTCACGTCAAAGTAAAGTCTAGGCTTGAATTGGTTTAAAAAATACAGTCAATAAACAGTGATACAGCTTTGTTGTTCTTGGGTTGCTGTATCATTGAGGTATACACAGCATCTTCTTTATTCTTAAAAATCAAATTTAAGAATTAAATACTTGATATAAAACCATAATTTTTAAAGAAAAAAACATCAAATTGGTCATAACTTTTATTTTCCTGAATGATTGACAGAAAATATTCATTAACAGAAAAATAAAATTGAAGAAAAAAACCCAAACAACTCCAGTTATAGATATGAAATCAAATATATCTAAATAAATGGAGAATGTGTCCATGGGACACCGATGATGCCCCCGCTTGCATATAACATTGTAAAGGGACATAACTCAAGAACGAGCAATTTTTCCATTTGTAAAGAGGCATAACTCTAGAACAGTAAAAGTGACGCCACCCAAATTCAAACTTGATCTGTGTTTTGTGGTAATAAGCATTATGTATAAGTTTCACAACATTTGGTTGAGGCAAACTACAGATGGAGAACAGAAACTAATTTTGGGACATACAGACGGACAAGGGTAACACTTAATGCCCCCTCCGCTGCAGCGGGGGCATAAAAAATCTTGCATTAAAGTTATAAAGCCTGTCTATTAATATATGTCTAAAATTTATCATTATATGATATATTTAAAGTTAAATAGAGTATCTATCACCACCCAAACTGATATATCTTTTAGTTTTACTGTTTAGTCCATTTTTGGTAATATACTTTTGGCGTGGCTTGGTATTTATACATCCTGCCATTGTTTTATTGTGCTATTTTTTCATTTTTTGCATTCTTGTCTTTCATGTTTGTGTATGTGCTTTGTCTATAGAGTATCTTCATGCCATTTTGTTTTTCCTTGTTGAAATAGTTATTTGTTTTTATAGTGATTAAGATTATAACACAATGTTGACTGCTGTACCCCAATTTTCACATTTTTATCTATTATGTTTGTTTGTTTTGCTCACACATTGTTGTCAATATAATGAATATCTATGCGAATCATACAAGTGAGAGGTTTAGCTAGCTATAAAAGCAGGTCTATTTCACCATTTTCTACATAAGGAAATGCCGTTACCAAGTCAGGAATATGAGTTGTTTTCCATTTGTTTGATGTGTTTGAGCTTTTGATTTTGACATTTCATCAAGGACTTTCCGTTTTGAATTTTTCCTTGGAGTTCGGTATATTTGTTATTTTACTTTTTGAGTTATAAATCATACTTGTTGATATCTGTATAAACCTAACCTGTCTGATATATCTTTTAAGTTATAAAGTGTACTTTTTGATATTGATATAAACCTTACCTGTCACCATCAGATTCTTTATTCTGCCAGTAATTATTTCCACCACCTCTTCCTCCACGAGGAGAAAATCGGAAATCTCTTCCTCTACGGTCATCAAAACTTGGTCGATTATTCCTATTAAATAAATAAACAATACAACATTTTTTGTTTTCCTAATCATAGGGCTCATTACAAGCATATCAATCAAGTTACAGATACAGACAATACAATATAATTATGATTATTAATACATATAACAAACAATTGTAGTTCAATAATTAAAGGGGAGAGTCAGTCCATACAGTATACAAAGGAGGATAACTCCTGGTCCACATTACATATTCATTATTTTTTTGAAAATATTTTTATTTTTGTCAAATTTGTTTCTCAGATTTTTTTCCCTTCTTGTTTCAAATAAAGAATTCAGATACTCACTGAATTCAGATATAAATTGCAAGACACTATTTGACATTATCCAGATTTATAGATCATCTTTATGTAAATTTCTCAAGTTATGAAACTTATCAAAAATTTTCTTATTAAGACATGGTTCTCTTAATATCATGTAAATAAAAAATGAGATTCATCTTGAACTGGATCATATCTTCATTACATAGCCAAATCTTTTTTTTTTTTACAAAAAAATATTTTTAAAAATTGAAAAAAAATTTCTTTATGAAATATTCTCCGTCTTTAGAAAGCAGAATTAACTAAATTCATGAATGCTTCCTAAATTAAAGTGAGGTCCTAAATAAAAGAGAGGTAAAAGATACCAAAGGGACATTAAAACTCATAAGTTGAAATTAAACTGACAATACCATGGCTAAAAAAGAAAAAGACCAACAGACAAACAAAAGTACACAAAACACAACATAGAAAACTAAAGACTGAGCAACACGAACACCATCAAAAACTGGGGGTGATCTCAGGTGCTCCAGAAGGGTAAGCAGATCCTGCTTCACATGTGGCACCCGATATTCCACATTTGGGGAAAAGGGGACAGGATTATAGTTACGACAATTGGAACATATCCGTCATTATCTGTGAAACATATATTCCATTACGGTCAACCAACTCATGGTGGTGTCCGTAAAATTTACAAAGGAATGATTTCAACTTCACCACTTGGAACTCTTGGTTTAATAGCTTCCTTGTGAGCAGCAACCTCTATCAAGGAAATCATGATAGGAAATACAAGCCCTAGAATATCATGTCAACTGAGAGATATACACTCCGTATGCAGGTACTGCTGGAATATTGCTCTTTTGCATCTCTTTTGAAGTAAAGTTTTGTTTTCAACCAACCCTCATTGTCAATTTCTAGATGTAAGTCAAGATATGAGGCAACTTACTGTATCTGTTGTATCCTTTATCTCAAGTTCTATGGGATTGATGTGTTCAACAGTCACCAAATTTCAAATTATTTAGTTAGAAAACATCATCTATATAGCGGAAAGTGAAGTTTCTTTCTTGTTAAGAAATTCCTGTATGAAGTCAGTATCATATGAATAAAGGAAAAAGTTGGCAAGAAGAGGAGTACAGAAAGTTATTATGAAGATAGAGAATGGAAAAAATCAACTGAAGAAGGTCAATTAGGCCAATATGACAAATCATCTTTATTAATTCATCAAAGTTTGATTTGAGGAAATTTTACTTTGGTCCTTTTCCTCTTGTCTGGAAAAATTTGACCAATCAAGGACGCATGAAGGTTATTTCTTTGTACAATTTATACATACCCTCTACTGAAAGGTCGTGTAAAATTAGTTTTCTGTCTGTTATCATACTCTCTTCCACCACCACTGTCGCCTTGAGTAACTGAAAAAAAAATCATCAGTGAAAAATACAGATATAAAAGGAAACTATTATGTTTTAGTCAGCATGTTTCAGTTTATTTGACAATACATTAATTATAGGGGAAAAGAAATGAATGATTACAGAAAATTTATTAAAATTGACTGAAAATTGAATAAAACTGAAATGTCTATCTGTCCATATCTTTTATCATTAATAAGTCATCGTAAAATAATGATTTTCGGCTTACTGTATATATTGTTAGATGAATCCCGACTTCTAATATTGCCAGGAGGTGTGAAGAATCCTCCGCCTCCTCCTCCTCCTCTATTGCCTCTGTAGTTACCTCGACCTCTATCAAAACCTCGACCTCTAAAACCACCTCTGCCCATGTCCTGTGAAAAAATTATAAAATATAACAATTATATATTTATCAGTTGAGTGATTTCTTTAAAACAAAATACTGAATGTCACACATCACTGTCCCTTGTAGAATGTATATTACGATATTCCAGTTTCAAAACTGTAAACTAACTCATTTTTGCAACTTTCAGGAGAAGGTAAATATATAACTCATTTATAAATCATCACAAACTTGTTAAACTAGGATCTTCTCTTATATGAATACAAATAAAGTTAGATAATAGCAAAAACTAATTGCAATGAAATAGGCTACAAAGTGCTAAACATAAAAAAATAAATTGGGAATGTGTCCATGGGACACAGATGATGCCCTGCTTGCATATAACGTTATAAAGGGAACTCAAGAACAGTAAAAGTGATGCTACCCAAATTTGTACTTGATCTGAGTTTTGTGGTAATAAGCATTGTGTATAAGTTTCATAACATTTGGTTAAGGCAAACTTAAGTTGGAGAACAGAAACAAAAAATTCAACAGTTTTTACATTTGAAAAGGGGCAAAACTCTAGAACAGTAAAAGTGATGCCACCAAAATTCACACTTGATCTGTGCTTTGTGGTAATCAGCATTGTGCATAAGTTTCATAACGTTTGGTTGAGGCAAACTAAAGTTAGAGAACGGAAACAAAAAATTCAGAAATTTTTCCATATGTAAAGGGCATTACTCTAGAACAGTAAAAGTGACGCCACCAACATTCAAACTTTATTTGTGTTTTGTGGTAATAAGCATTGTGTATAAGTTTCATAATGTTTGGTTGAGGCAAACTAAAGTTAGAGAACAGAAACAAAAAATTCAACAATTTTTCCGTTTGTAAAGGAAACACTAGAACCTTAAAAGTGACGCCATCCAAATTCAAACTTGATCGGTGTTTTGTAGTAATAAGCATTGTGTATAAGTTTCATAGTATTTGGTGAAGGCAAACTAAAGTTAGAGAATGGAAACCAATTTTGGGACATATGGACTACAGACGGACGTACAGACGGACAAGGGTAAAACTTAATGCCCCCTCCGCTATGGCGGAGGCATAAAAAGTTTCCTTAAAAATAAGTTGGTTAACAGTATAATTATACTGGGGATAGTCCCCTTTCTTTTGTTACCTTTCACATTGTCTTTTCATTACATTCTACAAGAAAAATCCCATTAATTTGGTTATACTGGGACCATGTTATTACATTGTGTGCCATATGCATTCTAAAAAAAAATCTACAAGTAAAAATCCTAAATACTTAGATGACCAAGACAATTTGCCCATGGTTTCCTTCAACAAGATAAATATTTAATTACTTAGTTGACAAGAAACTGAATTATCTGTCATTCATTTCTGTATAATAACACCTTATCACTCCGTATCTATACACTAGGACCATATCATTACCTTGAATTTCATTCTTTAAAAGAAATCTTTGTGACTTGGTTGACCAGGACTATGTCATTACCTTGAAATCCATTCTACTAGAGAAATCCTCATGATTTGGTTGACCAGGACAATGACATTACCTTAAAATCCATTCTACGAGAGAAATCCTCGTGACTTGGTTGACCAGGACTATATCATTACCTTAAAATCCATTCTACAAGAGAAATCCTCATGACTTGGTTGACCAGGACTATATCATTACCTTAAAATCCATTCTACAAGAGAAATCCTCATGACTTGGTTGACCAGGACTAAATCATTACCTTGAAATCCATTCTATGAGAGAAATCCTCGTGACTTAGTTGACCATCACCATATCATTACCTTGAAATCCATTCTATGAGAGAAATCCTCGTGACTTGGTTGACCAGGACTATATCATTACCTTGAAATCCATTCTACAAGAGAAATCCTTGTGACTTAGTTGACCAGGACCATATCATTACCTTGAAATCCATTCTACAAGAGAAATCCTCGTGACTTGGTTGACCAGGACCATATCATTACCTTGAAATCCATTCTACAAGAGAAATCCTCGTGACTTGGTTGACCAGGACCATATCATTACCTTGAAATCCATTCTACAAGAGAAATCCTTGTGACTTGGTTGACCAGGACCATATCATTACCTTAAAATCCATACTACAAGAAAAATCCTCGTGACTTGGTTGACCAGGACTAAATCATTACCTTGAAATCCATTCTATGAGAGAAATCCTCGTGACTTAGTTGACCAGGACCATATCATTACCTTGAAATCCATTCTACAAGAGAAATCCTTGTGACTTGGTTGACCAGGACCATATCATTACCTTGAAATCCATTCTACAAGAGAAATCCTCATGACTTAGTTGACCAGGACCATATCATTACCTTGAAATCCATTCTACAAGAGAAATCTTTGTGACTTGGTTGACCAGGACCATATCATTACCTTGAAATCCATTCTACAAGAGAAATCCTCGTGACTTGGTTGACCAGGACCATATCATTACCTTGAAATCCATTCTACAAGAAAAATCCTCGTGACTTGGTTGACCAGGACTAAATCATTACCTTGAAATCCATTCTACGAGAGAAATCCTCGTGACTTAGTTGACCAGGACCATATCATTACCTTGAAATCCATTCTACAAGAGAAATCCTCGTGACTTGGTTGACCAGGACCATATCATTACCTTGAAATCCATTCTACAAGAGAAATCCTCATGACTTAGTTGACCAGGACCATATCATTACCTTGAAATCCATTCTACAAGAGAAATCTTTGTGACTTGGTTGACCAGGACCATATCATTACCTTGAAATCCATTCTACAAGAGAAATCCTCGTGACTTGGTTGACCAGGACCATATCATTACCTTGAAATCCATTCTACAAGAAAAATCCTCGTGACTTGGTTGACCAGGACTAAATCATTACCTTGAAATCCATTCTATGAGAGAAATCCTCGTGACTTAGTTGACCAGGACCATATCATTACCTTGAAATCCATTCTACAAGAGAAATCCTCGTGACTTGGTTGACCAGGACCATATCATTACCTTAAAATCCATTCTACAAGAAAAATCCTCATGAATTGGTTGACCAGGACTATATCATTACCTTGAAATCCATTCTACGAGAGAAATCCTCGTGACTTAGTTGACCAGGACCATATCATTACCTTGAAATCCATTCTACAAGAGAAATCCTCGTGACTTGGTTGACCAGGACCATATCATTACCTTGAAATCCATTCTACAAGAGAAATCCTCATGACTTAGTTGACCAGGACCATATCATTACCTTGAAATCCATTCTACAAGAGAAATCTTTGTGACTTGGTTGACCAAGACCATATCATTACCTTGAAATCCATTCTACAAGAGAAATCCTCGTGACTTGGTTGACCAGGACCATATCATTACCTTGAAATCCATTCTACAAGAAAAATCCTCGTGACTTGGTTGACCAGGACTAAATCATTACCTTGAAATCCATTCTATGAGAGAAATCCTCGTGACTTAGTTGACCAGGACCATACCATTACCTTGAAATCCATTCTACAAGAGAAATCCTCGTGACTTGGTTGACCAGGACCATATCATTACCTTAAAATCCATTCTACAAGAAAAATCCTCGTGAATTGGTTGACCAGGACTATATCATTACCTTGAAATCCATTCTACGAGAGAAATCCTCGTGACTTGGTTGACCAGGATGAGGTCCCCCTCCAGCACCACCTTCATAATTGCCACCTTTCTCCAACTTCATAAAATCGTCAACATGCATTGATGGTGGTCTACTTGTATTTGGTGGTCGACATCTGAAATTATCAGATCTTCCACTATTGTTCAGTAAGCCTCTGGTTATTCCACGTCCCCTCATAGGTGCCACTAAAAATAAATCTAGCTTAAAATAATACACATCTATTTTTTCAATATCATCATATTAGAATATATGAAATTTTATTCTTGAATTACAATTGAAAACTTTACCAATATATCTGCATCTGTTTATCTACTTGGGCTACAAATTCAAATTGGTCTTATAATAATGTAAATCAACAATTGTTTAGCTTATTACTTATGCAACTTTTGAGAGTAGAAAATATGGCAAATATAAAACTTTGTGGATATGCCCAACTTAATTCTTTTCTTATATGAATACATCAAAAGTGAGATAATTGTAAAATACATTCTTCTATTATTTGCAGAAATATAAGGCAGCCAAGAAAACATTCAAAAATTACTAAATTTATTTAACATTTAAAATTCCCAAGAATTGAGTTGAATAAAACATAAAATCCAAAGAAGGTATTGATTTGGACTCCTTACAAAAAGAGTAATGTGGCTTATGAATACACATCACTGTTAAGCATTAATCAGCATTAGATAACAAGTTAATACTAACCAAAAGGTCTTTTTAATCCTTTGCCTCTATACAGATTGATTTCTTGTGATTTTCTTCTATCACTGTAAAACATAAAGAAAAGATGTTCATAATAACAAGATACAACTAGAGTTCTGAACTTCATGATAAAAATCCAAAATTTAGAAGTATAAAGCTGATAGATATTGAAATTGTGATTTGACCAATTTTCTAATTGACCTTTTGATAAAAATAAAAAAGTTAACATAATAACAGAAAATAAAAAAAAGAAATATTTTCTGTTTTGGTTTTTCCATCTAAAATGATATCAAATCATAAATACTCAATGTTTAAATTCCTGTGGCTTATGATATAATTTTTTTACCCATTATTGTAAAATGTTTTCATACAACTTCATACCAATAAGTATTGAAGTAGGGATGTTTATATTCAATTAATTTAATGGAAAAAATTATGTGGTTGCAAACATTTACATCATTTAGTCTCTGGTGGATAGTTGTTCCATTGGCAAATCATACCACATCTTCTTATTTTTTATGTACTTTACATGGCTATCGATCTGGAAGTATTGTATGGAGAAGACAGAATGTACAGAGCTAAATAACATACTGTTTACATAACTATCAATCTAGAAGTATTGTATGGAGAAGACAGAATGTACAGAGCTAAATAACATTGTATGGAGAAGACAGAATGTACAGAGCTAAATAACATACTGTTTACATAACTATCAATCTAGAAGTATTGTATGGAGAAGACAGAATGTACAGAGCTAAATAACATTGTATGGAGAAGACAGAATGTACAGAGCTAAATAACATACTGTTTACATAACTATCAATCTAGAAGTATTGTATGGAGAAGACAGAATGTACAGAGCTAAATAACATACTGTTTTAATAAGTATAAATAAATGAAGTGGTACATCCAACACTTTTATATTGGAAATAATTTGAGGAAAAACATTATTTCTAAATATTAGAACAAAGCTGAATCATTTTGATAAAACAAAATGAACTCTCAGGTCACAGTTCAATTACAAACATTTGAATAATAATAAGAAAACTTTCCTACCCATGTCTTAACCTCCTTGGTTTAGTAACTTCCTCATTTGATGACACAGTTGTCTTTTTTAGTTCTTCTTCCAGGTTATAATCAGGACAGTATTTACTACAGATCTCTTCCATGTCCATTCTAATCAGGTCTGGTTCTACATCTGCTTCATCTGTGATAGGATTTGACAGCCAATAGGCCTCATTAAGTCTTTCATCCTCCATATTACTCATCTCGTATACAGACCTCATTAAAAATAAGTTAGATAACGACTCTGGTTCAATATTTGATGGTTCTGGAACTGTAAATGAAACTTTTATGTTATTTTTAAAAATCTTTGTCTGAAAATTTTTACTTACAGCAAATGTACTATACTATTTCATAAAAGATGTTGCTGTTGAAATTCTAGATAACATTTCATAAATGATTTCTTTTTCAATAAATAATGTATGATACAATAAAATGATGGAAAAATAAAGATTGACCTGTATGCTTTTGGTTGAGATACACGCTAAGTACTCAACATTACAACTCATTACCGTAAAGATCCTAACCATATATATCTAATTTTCACTACTGTGATTGACCACTAAAAAAGAGCTAAAAAGTAGAGGACAGAAATGTAAATGCAGATTGCAAGAAAGCCCTTTTTTTGCACCTAAATATTTTTATGAACCTGCATTGAACCAAAGAAACAGAAACTTTTAAAATGCTGTGTTTACAATATCATGACCCAGTTTTATTTCCTTTTAAAGTCATAAATTAATGAATGCCAACAATTTCTGTGGACAGAACATGAGGTCAAGGTAAGATGAACCCTGCCAGATGGCATGACACCTACAATCATTTTATACACAAAATATTGATCTTGACCACAGAGATCAAGATCAGGTCAACCCTGTTTGATGCACATGCATACTAATGTATACAAAATAATGTTGTATCACTTATTATAACAGAAAAACAACTGATGATAAAAATTATAGTTTTTAAGAATTGACTGAACCATGAAAATGAGGTAAAGCCGTAAAGGACACCAGACATATGCCAGAAGGAAACTTCAGACCATAATGAACATGTATACAAAATATGAATTATCCAGCTTTTCTACCTCATGAAATATACAGCTTCATACAAATAGTTTAAGCAGCAGCCTCATTAGCATCCATATGTCTCACATTCTGCAACATTTGTTGCAGGCCAGACAAAAAATCCAATTATCTTCATTTCCTTACACAATTTAGGAGGGATTTTTCATTTTCCCCTCAAAGAAGAGTGGAGTATTTACTTACATAAACCTCCTGTCGTCACAGAGAATCAAAAGGCGTACTTCAATTGTGAAGGCTGTTAATGATACAATATCAAATTTTACATAATTTATTTTGAAAAACTTATAGAGAGCTTGGAGATTTTAAGGGCGAACAAAGAGACAATTATAGGGCTTCCACACCCTTGATTAACCTATAAGTGCTTCTTACATATCAGATTTCAATTTACATAATAGCAGTATACCAGGGTTCTTTAAATTTTACATGACCCATTTCAATCGTTCCATGTGTAGTAATATTTAGGTGCAAAAAGTGATCAATAGGTCCAAGGACACAGTTATCGTCCTTTGGTTTTCGTTGTCTACGAATATAGTCCCTAGTGTGAACAGTGTATAACTTGCATTTTTTTTTTTATACACTTTCCCAATTTATTTCTTGATATTTTATGCATGAAATATTAAGTAAGGGGATGAAATTACATGTTAAAAAAATTTGGGTGCTGAATCTTTATGTTAAGTAGTAATTTGGTCCAGTTAAAAAAGGTCAAAAATTAGAATGTCTGAAGCTGTCAAACTAAATTTTAGCCCCCCTTAACACAGAATTGTCAATATTTTGAGTTAGAGCTGGTAGAAGTTTCTATAATTTTGATATTATTTGTATCAATAGTAGTACACTACACTGTAAAAATCTTTTTAAGATAGAGCAGGTGCGATTTTTTTAATTTTAATTTATTGTCTAAAAGAAATGCACTACGAAATAACTGTGTTCTCGGGCCTAAGAGATGAATTCCGTAAATGTAGATTCTGTACTTTGGCAACTTTCCTGAATGGTTTGCTGGTTTCAATTTGTCAAACTCAATAAAAGTAAAGCATTTACATCTTTGTTTGACAGAAATTCTGTTTAAATGTCCCATTTTGGCATTATACGGCTAAAATAAGCATTTTAAAGCAGTTTCCATTTTATGCCTAAGAGCCATGCTGACTTTCTATCTGACAGCTTTTTATGTTCCTGATATTTGTGTTTCTATGCTTAAATCAAATTTAATTAACCATTTGTGAACTCGGAATCTAGAGAAAAGTAGATTATCACAGAAAAAATGTGCAGAATATTTGTATTTATGTCCCTGGTTAAACGGCCTGTTTGATGTATGTGAAATGTGAAGAGCTTTGTACATAAAATCTGTAGTCCATCACAAATATTTCACTAAATCTGTAAAAAAAACACTTTACAATGATCAGTACACCCTATTCATTTCATATGCTACCATAATTTTCTTCTTTAGGATAGTAAGTGGTTCAAATATATGCCAAATGAGACTAAAACTACATGCAAGTTTTCCATTGAAAAGTGAAAAACTGATCATCAGACCATACTGTCTGCAAAAAAAAGTTGATTTCAAGAGTCCTTTTGCAATTAGACTTCTTGTATCATGACATCTTAGCATAGAAATGAGCAAAAAGTAACAAATTTCAATTTCTTATAGCCTCTGTGTGCATTTTTATTTGTAAATATGGGCTACGGCCTAAATCGACTCTAAATAATTCTCAGTCTTACATGGCCTAAGACCATTTTATACTCATGTGGTATGCTTTTTGTAACTTTTCTTTACATTTAAAGTACATTTAATATATATGGAAGAATAATGTATGGTTAAAAAACTTCAAAAACTTCAAATTGGTTGAAAAAAATGCATGTTTATGTAAGGCTTCCCTTAATTCTAAAATCTCTATTTTCAGGCACAGGCTCATATAAATTTGACTTTTGAATAACTGTAATAAATCTGATAAATCAAATGAGTGTTCCGTTGCTTTTAATACTTATTATATTAAATTCAAGAGTATTTAAAAAGCAAATTTTTGCAATATTTAAATTTTTTAGGCCAAAATCTTGACAGTTGAAAATATTTGATTTAAACGTCAAAAACAAACATCCAAATTTCAATATTAAAATGGCCCTAGTTTCTATAATATATATCCTATGGCCATGAAACTTGGCCAACTATCTTATAATTGCCTAAGCTTAGGTCATGCAAAGTTTTATTAAAATTGGTCAAGTCTTTCTATCCTATTAGGTCCAAGGACACAGTTATCGTCCTTTGGTTTTCGTTGTCTACGAATATAGTCCCTAGTGTGAACAGTGTATAACTTGCATTTTTTTTTTGATACACTTTCCCAATTTATTTCTTGATATTTTATGCATGAAATATTAAGGGGATGAAATTACATGTTAAAAAAATTTGGGTGCTGAATCTTTATGTTAAGTAGTGATTTGGTCCAGTTAAAAAAGGTCAAAAATTAGAATGTCTGAAGCTGTCAAACTGAATTTTAGCCCCCCTTAACACAGAATTGTCAATATTTTGAGTTAGAGCTGGTAGAAGTTTCTATAATTTTGATATTATTTGTATCAATAGTAGTACACTACACTGTAAAAATCTTTTTAAGATAGAGCAGGTGCGATTTTTTTAATTTTAATTTATTGTCTAAAAGAAATGCACTACGAAATAACTGTGTTCTCGGGCCAATATTGCAAACTCCTTTTATCTTTCATTCCTTCTGTATATTTTTTTCCATACAATGTTTTCAGTTTAAAGAGAAATTGAGCCAAATTAAAGGTGGGGGTCACTTTGATTTTCATTTTTCTTTGCATTTTCCATTATTTCTCAATTAATCTACAATGGTTTTTGAAAATGTTATAGATCACAGCTGAAAATAGTGATATTTGATTTATATTTTACAATTTCGTAAATATTTCAAACAAATAAATTCTACCTTTTAGCTGTCTTTTGGTGGTCTGTCACTGTACTGGAACTTAGATTTTAATGAGTCTAAACATTTTTACCTGGGTATTTGGACATAGTCTTATAGGGGTCAAAACAAATCTTAAACATAAAAATCTTGACTATGCTGCTTAAACATTAAAATTAAAAAAAATATCCTTTTTATAGAAGCAGAATAATAAAACAAAACGATGCAGCATTAATCTAAGAATTTATTTCATTTGGCCTTACTATAGAAAAACATTGAACTTCCGAAAATATCCACAATTTTTAGTCTATGGGGGAATATTTGTTTGGATGTATGTATGAACACGATGATGATGAATTATAGGAAGGGATGATTTGACAAAAATATGCAAATTTTTGTTTGTTTGTTCAAACAAAATCATTAATTCTTTTAAATCTGTGACACATCCAGCCAAATTTTGTTTTTGTGTGAAACCAAATGAAGTTAATCCTCTATCAGGTAGAATAAAAAGAAAAACAAACTGTATACAAAACAAAGAAAGCACAGAATTTGTTAAGCCCAATAATTTCTGTGTTAAAAAATAAGCAAGTTCACTAAATTTGTTTACAGACTACACTGATTAATACCTGTGTCTGTTTCCTTTTCATTCTCCTTTTTCTCAAAATAAAACTTAATCCCACTTTCGGGAGATTTGGCTGGATGTGTCACATAAATGGATATTGTGGGATTACTTGTTTTCTTATCCTGTACTGTATCAGGCTCCCGTAGCATCTTCATTAAGGCTGTCATACTGTCAAGTAAACTCTTCATTGCCTCGTCCTCCTTGGCAAATTCCTACACAAATTGGAAATTTCATTCATGTCAATTTCATGTTTAGACTTTAAAACTTTGTTTTATGATTATGATTTATTTTCCCAAATTAATAAATTGTTTATTTTCCCAAATTAATAAATTGTTTATTTTCCCAAATTAATAAAATGCAAACTTCCAAACAACGTATTGTAATTTCACACATATTTTACTGAATATAAATTGTTTTAATTCAAATGATGTCTGATTCTTATGAATATAGAAGACTTTTTGAAAGAAAAATTGTATGAAAGCTTAGGATGGACATTTTTATAGCAATTCAAAATTACTACCTATCACCTTTAGCATGACAATAACAATAAAATTTCTATACAAACTGTTAAGACTGATTTTTCATCAGAACATTGAAGTGGAATTAAATTCTTATAGGATTGTAAGTATGCTTTATTTTATCACCTTGCACTTTCACGACTTGACTGTGGTTTTGCTACAGCAGTTTGTTCAAATTTCTGACCAGTTGAACAGTTTGGTTTTATAAAACAAATTGCAATTTGGTCAGAATTTTGAATAAGTTGGAATAGGTGGAGAGTAACACTTACAGTCAAGTCACAGTAAATAACTTTAGTCGCCTTGTATATGCACAACATTTTGAAATGTGAAATTTATGGTATTTCCAAATTTATCAATAATCAATCTTTTACATGTCCATAAAAAACAGACATGATTTAAACATGCCTCCATATCTGCAACACATTGTGTGCTTATACTTCTAATAGTTTTAGACCCCCTTCACACTTGGACATTTAGATAGATTTAAACTAGATCGGTTCACTTTAGATCGATGTAAGCCCAATGTGAACGCTTTGAATCGATCTTCAATCGGTTAGTTTAATTTGAATCGATCTAAAGTGAACAGATCTAACTTTAAATGTGATGCAGAAACCTATCTAAACTAGTATGATTGAATCAAAAATAGTTTGTGCGCATGTATGGCGGCAAAATTAAACATTCAATTTATTACAAAATGGATGACCAACATAAAAGGGCTGAAAATTAACGAAAAACTATACGAACAGCAGTATCAACATTTGAACTTGTAATTCAAGTGAAACAATAACTTCGTCCATTATGTTTTTGCAAGCATGTGTATCAACACATTAATTTGATTTGATATTTCTTTTTATACACAGTGTACAATTTCAGGGATAATAAGTTCAGATCAATTGCATTTTTACACATAGTGTGAACGCAGTGGTTCAGATTAGACCAATAGAGATTGTTAGGATTAAAGATAATGTGAACATAGTGGTTCAGATTAGACCAATAGGATCGTTACAATTAAAGATAATGTGAACGTTAACTGGTTTTATTTAGATCAAATGAAATTTTGATCGATCTATAAAAAGCTAGTGTGAACGGGGTCTTACACATTGTGTTCTTTACCTGTAGTAGTTTTACACATTGTGTACTATACCTCTAGTAGTTTTACACATTGCCTACAATACCTCTAGTAGTTTTAGTTTTACACATTGTCTACTATACCTCTAGTAGTTCTACACATTGTCTACTATTCCTCTAGTAGTTTTAGTTTTACACATTGTCTACTATACCTCTAGTAGTTTTGCACATTGTCTACTATACATCTAGTAGTTTTAGTTTTACACATTGTCTACTATATCTCTAATAGTTTTACACATTGTCTACTATACCTCTAGTAGTTTTACACATTGGCTACTATATCTCTAATGGTTTTACACATTGTCTACTATACCTCTAGTAGTTTTACACATTGTCTACTATACCTCTAGAAGTTTTACACATTGTCTACTACATCTAAAGTAGTTTTACACATGGTCTGCTATACCTCTAGCAGTTTTACACATTGTCTACTATACCTCTAAAAGTTTTTCTAAATCTAATAATGGATGATTCTCCATGCTTGGATTCCATGACAACACTTGGTGAAGTTCTTTCTGAGATAAAGTATATGTTCTTGTCACAGTTATTCCTGCCATTGGACTCTCCACAGAGACAAGTAGACGTAAGAATTCCAGTAATGTGGATAAAGTTAATAAACAATCAGAACTGTCCTTACTGAACGTTGTATTGATTCTAACCATCAGACGTCCTAAAGCAGTCGTCTTCTGTTCTAAAACCCTGATAAATACACAATAAATATTTACTGAAATGTATACTGTTGTCAGAAATGAAGACTGAGAATAAAATATAGTTTGATATCGGATTGTTCTGCTTTAATAGATCAGTGTATATGCTAGTCTTAAAGCGTGTTTAAATTCAAATTTGATGACCTTGTTTTCAAGAGGTAATTCAATTTAAATGTTTTGAAAATCAAGAGTAATGACAATTCTTTTTATACATGCATTATACTTAAAATAATACTTAAACACAAGATTCAGTAGAAATTCTTGTACATCTTACATTTAGAGCAGATGGGAAGTGGCATTTAGGCCTGGTTTTGGCCCCAAGAATATAAAGTTTGTGTTAACTATTTCAAATTTGCACATAATGATTGGAAAAGCATATGATCAAGAAATATAAATGAATTACATAAAATGTTTAATGTCGTGATGTCACAATTATGTCATAATATGCATCATTTTCATAAAAACAAAGAAAACTGTAGAATTTACGCAGTTTTGCATCATTATTTCAACTGTGGAAACATGCATGCGCACCCATGAAACAACAATTTAAGAGAAGCTGTATTATAACTATTGACATAATCTCACCAAATATAAAGTTGTTTCTTGGGTGCACACATACTTTCCAACCTAATTTATACTAAAAAGTTGCTGAAAAACAAGTAAAATCAAGAAATTTTACAGAATATACAAATGGTTTGTTGCCATGGTAACTCATTAAATGTGAAATTGTTTTCATTTTCTGAACACCTTGTACCTTAGTGTAGTTATGACAAATTTAAGAATATGTATGGTAACTTATAATTTGCACTAATATTAGGTCCAAATAAAGGACATTATTGCCTCCACTTCTTTATGTACATCCTACTTTTAAAGCAAATTCATTTACATCCTACATTTACAGCAAATTCTTGTAAATCCTACATTAACAGCAAATTCTTGTAAATCCTACATTAACAGCAAATTCTTAGACATACTACATTTAGAGCTCCCATACTTTTTCAAGAAGTAAAATCCATAATCATGATCTGTTAACATGACCAGGGTCTTAACACATGGTAGGATAGAGGCGTAATTGTGATCAGCACTTCCCATGTGGTCTAGTAGTGCTGTTGTTATCATTACCATATCACTGGGCTGTGGCAGGGAGTACGCAATCTGCATAGAAACAATACACAAAATGGATTTTTATTTAAGTTTATTTTAGTTTTAAAATACATTTCCCCCTCACTTTTGTTGTTTGGTAGATTTTGTTTGTTGATTTGAAATACAAATCAAAATATTTTTAATTATTTTAAGATCTCTTGCATAGTTTGAATATATTAACTTTGCTTCATGAGTCTTTCTTTTTCTCTTGTATGGTGTGGGTTTATGCATGTCATTGAAAACCTTGAAATGTTCCTTGAGTATTTATACTAAGTGCATATTTGACTATTTGTGAATTTATTCCTCTATAGTCGACTCAATATCTATTGAAACCACTGGATTTTCATTGCAATAATCACTATACAACAACTTGTATGTACAATTGTGAATCGGTTTCTCTGTAACAGTTAATAAACCAAAATAAAAATTGACCATTACTTTGATAAGCTTCTTTACTCTGCATAAATTGTGGAGTTTTCAGTAGGATTTATACGGCTAGCAATTATGAAAGACTTAACAACTGACAAGTAAGTTCTACCGTAGCAAATTAGCTTGTGTTAAAATTCAAACAAGAAGTTATGACCTGTTATATTAAGTTTACTCACCTGTTTGTCTGTAAATTCACTACTTCCTGTTAACATGGAAACTTCAACATCACATAAACTTTGGATTATTGACTGAAAAATTAAATTTCAGCTTTAACCATTTAACATTTAGAATTCACTTATTTATTTCAAACTGTTCAAAATAACAACCTTTTAGCTATGCCACAACTGATAAGTCTGTCTGTAAAGACTGTCCTTCACATCTATAGTCCTGTCTCAATCATTCAAAGACTGTCCTTTATATTTACAGCCCTGTCTCAATCATTTTTTTTAAATATAAGAAATTAGAAATAATATAAAATACATTCATTTTGGCTTGTTGGAAATTGTTTCAAACACTGAATGAAAAATATTATTTATCAGACCTTTACAAAGAAGTTTAATCTTATGGTTTTTCTACACCCATTAAATTAGTATAAATTTTAATTACATAGTATGGTTGTACATTTATATTACAGATCTATTTGAATGTCCCTTTGGTATCTTTTGCCTTTCTTTTACAGTGTACTTACAACAATACATTCCTGAGCTTGTACATGAGGAAGCCTGTCACATACTGAATTTAAGATTTCCAAGAACTGGGTTAGTAACTCTCCATACTTCTCATCAGAGCCAGAACTGAAAAAAACCCATGTCATTTGATAATATTTGATTTTTTAAGTCAGTTTTTATTTCTCAAAAGATTTGAGTGTTGGATCTTTTTACTGAAGAACCTATAGTTCATTGTATTCTGAGTTTGTGAGGATATATTTAGGGATCTTCTGAAGTTGTTGTTGTATTCATATAAAAGAAGATCCAAATATGATATATTTACGAAGATTTATATTCGCGATATTTATCTACTCTGGAAAGTCACGAAAAATAGTTGGTTTACAGAATTAGGTCACATCAAAAAGTAACATCTGTGTTGCTTCCTGTGTAATTCTTGGTAGGCTACTGACAATAATAGTAATAACAGAGATTTACATAGAAAGAGGAGAGCAAAATGATTAACAAGGACATCTCATTCTTTGATGCAGAACACTTATAATAGCAGACACATTCAACAATCAAAGCACTTGTGAGCACTGAAGGGTAAAGATTGCATTCATTTTGCAGTGGAAACTAAAAATTAAACATGGCAATGTATTAAGCTTTGGAAGGCTTTACTTACTATGAATGGGAGAAATATTTGTAACTACAACTATGTATAAAGTAAGATTACTCCAATCTTAAAATTTCTTTAACAATGACATAATTGATATTTTTATATCAGATACTAGATTCATGCACCATGCACAATTTAAGTAATTTTCTTGTCAAGTATGGTTATACGCATTAACATCATTTTGTAACTTGTGTATCTGAATCTTGAGGTTTTGAATGTATAGAATGTGTGTGCTCAATGTACTATATTTTGTGTATCTCAAAAGTAGTGATACAATCTTGAAAGTTGATAACTATCAAGTCAGCCACATAAATGTTTTGATTGCATGAATGCAATCTTTACCCAAAAAACTTCAATAGTAATCAGTATTATAGAAATCTAAAACAAACCCTGCTTTCAGCATCAGATGTAGCGTGGCACATTTTATGGGTGGATGTGCCAATACAAATGCCAGTAAATTCAGCATTTTACTAGCATAAGGGGAGGCAACTCTTTCAATTCTACTTTCTTGACTTCCACCTTCCTCCGCACCTTCTACTGGAAAAGGTTTAGCTCCCAGTGTGTCAAAACTTGTCACTACCATATCCAACACACACCTATTGAACAAAATAAAATGCAATGTGACTTATATTTATCAGATGTTATACCGTAATTATACCATATAATATTTATACATGTATTTTTGCCAATAAACACATTACAAAAAAATATTTATCAGTAAAAAAAAATAATTTTGTGATCTCATAATAAGCTTTTGTTACCACTTTAGAACTCAGATTGAAGCATCCTGAAACTGAAATATTCCCCTTCCACTTTTAATAAAACTGCAAGACAGTGGAGATACTTATTGGCTTTTTTAATTGTTGGAAGTTGTAAACCAACTTATCCATGTGTAAGTATTCATCATATTTAGGAAGGGCATGAATTAACATAATGATAACATTTTTATTTTTACATCAAACTATATTTTCTCATTATATTTAAAAGGGCGGTTGATGAAGAGTGTCTATTAGCCTCTTAAATTTTTCCTAACATAGCCAAAAACAATTAATAGTTCAGGTATAATGTTATATTTATTTATATCAAATTTTACTATGGTAGCAATCTGGGCTAACAAATTAGCTCAACAATAATTTATTTAGTAATTAAACCATTTTTAAGGCTTTTCAGCCACAGGCCTTCTTTTCTCTCTTTTATTCTTCTAACCTACATGTGTGGTGACAGATCAGACAACTGCCTCCAAACTTTTCTGGGAAGCTATTGACAAGTAGATAAGGCTTAAACTTACTTTGTTACCATGGTAGCAGCAGATGCTGACAGATCAGACAACTGCCAACAAACACGCCTGAGAACCTGTTGTAATGGCTGACAAGTAGATGTGGCTAAGATTCTGATCATCTCTTGTACCTGTGGTGAAAGTGAGTGAAGATGAGCACTCCACAACTTCCTGGAATTCACTGCTAGGCTTATCTCTTCTTCTGTTAGCTTCTAAAATAAGAAACACAAGTTTATAACTGTAACATAATAAACTTTGAAATTCTTTATTCAAACCACCTCTTGCCTAATTTATCAAAACCCATTGTAACATACTTTATTCAAACCAATTGACAATACTTCTACAACCATTGGTGGAGTCGACATGCATAGTCTTCAAAAAAGAGCTGAATGAGTTTTAGTGCTCAAATTTGACTTGATAGAAAGAGTAATTGAAATATGTTCATGGCTTACCTCTTCTGTCTGGAGAGGTAACGGCAAGGGAAGTAATTCTGAAATCATCAATAGACCACTCAAATAGGTATATGGTGCCTTTGTTGTGTATTTAATCAGTTCTTTCATAGTCTTTGTCCAAAGACTTTCAGTTAGTGCTACAAAAACAACAACATATTATAAATAAATACAAGACTGCATTTTGAATATTTGATAAAGATAGAGAGATGATAAAGCATATGTGTACATAAAATCTTTTATTGTACAAATTTTACCAAACAATTATAGTCAGAAAATCTTTGTGTATGAATAAAAAGAGATATCAGTGATATGTCAATGAGACAGCAACCTTACAGGAAAAAAATAACACCCAAAAGACATGCTCAACATATATTCTAAATATTTCTGTTTGGCTGAGAAGATATTGATTCCATTTTTAACAAGATTGCTATGCTGTAGCCGAATGTCCCCCTTGCTGTATAAATGATTAATTAAATTGTGTGTCACAATGAGTTGATAGTTCAAATATTGTATAAGTCCCATAACTCCCATAAATATCGATAAACCAAAATGATGCTATAATATGGTCAACTACACAAGTCATGATTGCAAACAATCCTACCAAGTATAAAAGCATTTTGTCAAATGGTCTCAGAGGAGTTGCATTCACAAGATGACACCTTTACAATACACCAAAAAATAGTCAAAGTTTCCCATTACTCCCATAAAAATTGTTTGAATCAAATTGACTGTATAAAATGGTAACTACACATAATGGCAACCAATCCTACCAAATATGAGAGCTTTCTGTCAAATGTTCTCAGAGGAGTTGCATTCACAAGGTGTTATTATCACAATAATCCAAAAATGGTCAAAGTCCCATTAATCCCGTAAAAATGTATGTATCAAAATGAGGGTATAATATGGTCAACAACACATGATGTCAAACAATAGTACCAACTAAAAGAGCTTTCTGTCAAATTGTCTCAGAGGAGTTGCACTCACAAGGTATTATAGTCACAATACTAAAAACAAATTGTTTAATACCCATAACTCCTGCAAAAATGGTAGAATCAAAATGGCTGTACAATATGGTTAACTACAGATGGCAAACAATCCTACCAAGTATGAGAGCTTTCTGTAAAACAGAACCAGAGGAGTTTCATCACAAGTTGTCATTGTTATAATACTAAATAAATGTGGAATGTGTCCATGGGACACAGATGATGCCCTCGCTTGCATATCATATAAAATTATAAACAGACATAACTGAAGAACAGTAAAAGTGACCCTACCCAAATTTGAAATTGATCAGAGTTTTGTGGTAATAAGTATTGTGTATAAGTTTAATAAAATTTGGTTGAGGCAAACTTAAGTTAGAGAACGGAAATGAAAAATTCAGAAATTTTTTCCCTTTGTAAAGGGGCATAACTCTAGAACGGTTAAAGTGACACCACCAAAATTCAAATTTGATCTGTATTTTGTGGTAACAAACATTGTGTATAAGTTTCATAACATTTGGTTGAGGCAAACTAAAGTTAGAGAACGGAAACCAACTTTGGGACGTACAGACAGACGTACGTACAGACGGATAAGGGTAAAACTTAATGCCCCCTCCGCTACGGCAGGGGCATAAAAAGATGGTTCAAGTCCCATAACTCCCGTAGAAATTGTTAACCCATAACTCCAGCAAAAGTTGTTAAAAGTATGAAAAAGCTTTCTGTCAAATGGTCTCTGAGTATTCAGTGTAGGACAGTCGGGCCAGCCAAAGGCTGGCCCGAAAAATTATTTTTGGGCGAGTGCAAAAATTACTTCACAGGCCCAAAATGCATATTGGTAGCCCAATTATTTTACTCAATTTTTTTTTCGGTGTTGAGCCATAAAAATGACAATAAAGCAACATAAATAGATGTTCTTAATTCTTCAACCTTCCCGACACATAAACCTAAAAAAAAAAACTCATTCCCATAGTCTTCATTGTCACTGAATTCATCATCACTGTCCAGTGCCTAATCTAGGATTTTGAATTGGAAAATTGACTTCTCATTCCATGAGAGAGTAGCTAGAAGTGAAGTTTCATTACCGTTTCGGTTGCATAGTGATTTCGTGTCTTTCACTGAGGAAATTTTGCTGTTGCGTTTAAAATTAAACAAGTTTCTGCGAATTGATCTAATCAAAGAGCTGAAAGCTCTGAGGAAAAATGACGCCACTGTCTCTAATATTGTGATATTTTTTATGCAAGTCTTGATTTTCACATACCGTAATAAGTTTAACATTGCAACATGTCTCGTAAGCATATAATTGATATTCGTATATGTGTCTGTTTTTTCAGTACAAATGAATAGGTCAAGACTACCTGAATGATCTACAGTATCCAATTACTACTGGCTGTTTTTTTGTATAAATAAATAGGTCAAGACTACCGGAATGATCTACAATATCCAATGACTACTGGCTGTTCTTTTGTACTAATAAAAAGGTCAAGACTATTTGAATGATCTACAATATCCAATGACTACTGGCTGTTCTTTTGTACATATAAATAAAGACTACCTGAATGATCTAAAGTATTCTAAGTAATGTGATTTTTTTCTTGCAATTACATTTTTCTAAATCAAGAATATAGACTACTAGTATCCTTTTCAAACCAAATGATTATGAAGAGCCTGTTGTTAGCAAGCTCTTATACCCCACATACTCATTAAATAAGTTACTAGTGACCTAGTTATTTCTGTTACTTGAAGCAAATTATATTTCTGTATATTTAGACAATAGTATAATATTGTTTTACTAGTTTTATTTCACCTTGAAGATTAGACAAATAGGGATACTCCTTCGATTTTTTATTTCATGTCAGTCAGGTCGCTTTATATGAAACTTAAAACCACTTCTCTGCCATATTGTTATTTTATAACAACTCTGCCCTTGACCATGTTGACCCATGTAATTGATATTCATTCTTTAACCATATATCATAGTCAGTTAGTTTTTGATTTTGCACTCCCACACCACCTTTCATGTCTTTCAGGTCAAATGTCTGTCTCCATTTAAGTTAATGACATTGAACAATCATGGTATTAAACACAATTTCAATAGTGATAATGCTGTTCTCGTGGGTCACCATATATTCAACTTGGGTAGCATTCCAGTTATTGAAATTTGTGTCAGATTAGAACAATGATCTAGATCTTTAGGAATGGATCTTATAATTTAATATGGAGCCATAGTATGGGACCCCTTCACGGTAACAAAAAAAAAACAAGCTTGAAAGGATACAATGTCAAGCAGCAAAATCTATCACCAGAGATTACAAGTCAAAAGAGGATGGACGGGATACGTCTCTAAAATGCTTGCTGAACTGGAACTACAGCAAGATCTCCAGACAAGACGAACAAAGCGTTGAAGCCAGAAGTTAATATTTATGTAAAAAGTAGTTGAGGGGCTGATTCCCGCTATTGAACCATACTGTCATTCTATAATATCATTGCGTAAGTATTTCTGTATTGGCCTTGTTATTGGTCCATGTCTTGGGTGTATTGGTCTGAGGCGAAGCGGAAGGCCAATACTGCTGGCCGAGGACCAATAATAAGGCCAATACAGAAATACACGTAATAGTATCTTTATTAATTAACTACAGTGTTACAATATTTTTTTTATTTCATTTCACAAGAGATAAACATTTTTACCTTGAAGTGGAACTATCCAAATCTCAGTTTCCTTTTATAAGATGCAATATCTAATGATTCGGTACCGTTTGACTGCTGGCCGAGAACCAATAATAAGGCCAATACAGAAATACACGTAATAGTATCTTTATTAATTAACTACAGTGTTACAATATTTTTTTTATTTCATTTCACAAGAGATAAACATTTTTACCTTGAAGTGGAACTATAAAAATCTCAGTTTCTTTTTATAAGATGCAATATCTAATGATTCGGTGCCGTTTGAAGTATCTTCAGCCTTTTCTTATCTGATGAATTTTTCTACCCTTTCCAGTCACTATAAAGTGTTACAACTTTAATTAAGACACAACACATAAATAGTAATTGGAAAGGTACTGCCATTGCATGTGTAATGCAAATATATTTAAAAAAAAAATAATGTAAGAGTTGAAATTGATACAACTATCCATAAGCCAATTGACCAAAGAACGAAGATTTGCACAATTACAGAATGCATATGCCTGGTTCGGGTTTAAAAATAAACGACCGTTTAAATACAAAACATGAGAAGCGACAGTAAACAGTAAAAATCGATTTGTACCATCGACATGATGAAATTATGAGGTCGTCAAGAAATGAACTTTGTGATAATTTACTCGTTCCCCAAACCTGAAATAATCCCATCGTCTACTTTCAAAATGCTTTTTAAATGAATGGGACCGTCTTTAACCTAAAATATATGCCATACTGAACGTTTCAGCTTGTTTATGGTGAGTAAACCTGCGTCTTACAAACAACTGTTTACTTTCAGTTTGAGTTTATCGTGACTTACGATCTAAAAACTAGAGACGATCGGAAATCCTGTTTTGTAAACAAAGATTCATACGCACCGCGTGGGTATAACCGTATTACTAATTTCCGATTTTTAAAATCTTCGTAAATCTGGATAAAGACCAGTTTCTATCCAATGGATATCAAAATGATTCCGATTTTCACTTTTTTTAATGATTGTAAAGTTGAAATGGCATGAAAGGCTGACATTATTTAGGAGAACTATTTTGTCTAGCGATTGCTGATCATTGGAGGGTAAAAAGTCCAACACCATAACAAAACGGATCTATTTATCATGTATACATACCGGTTGTTTACGATTGTAAGGCATAAAAGTGAAAGCTCAAATAAATATGAAAAATATAACAGAGGGATAGCTCCAAATACCATTTAATAACAAAAAACATATGGACAGGCCAAGATATCTGTTTGGTAAATAAAATAAAGTATGTAAACTGGTTCCCGTCCGACTACAACACTTTGTTCGAGTGTAGCGTAATACAAGCAGATTCCAGTTAGTATGTAAAATAGTAAATATGAAACCGAGTGCGGTAGGTGGAGGCAATAATCGACTTCCGTAAGTTCTGGTCAATGGTATCGGAAACATGCCGCTGATAGCGTCATTTTCCAAAAATAGCACGGGGAATTTCCGCGATATTCTATTCGGTCAGTCATTTCAACAGGTTGTATGTCCAAAGTGTCAATGCAAAACAAAATCAAAAGACATTTTATAAACGTAATATTTTCTTATGTCACTGCCACAGGCACTTGTTTCTGTCCTTGGGGGCTTACTATCTACACTCGTATGAAAATTATTTTGACGGCTTCTCAGTTGTATCCGTGTATGGAGTTCTTTTCAGAATTCCCTTGCCCTTGTTTATTTTAGTTGGTCAGACGAGGTTTTACTGTCAATGACTGTCGCTATCCTATATAAAACACCAATAGTTTAGCAGCCACCATTGACTGGAAAACCTTGTTTGACCCACTAAACAAGCACATGTCACGATGTTGTTTGTATCCGCCATGTTAATATTCTAATGCACTAGCACGTTTTAACGGTGTGACCAGAGGATTTCCGACAATGGGTGTTCAGAAGTTGGGGTGGGTTTTTATAGGAGTAACTACGATTTTGAGAATGATAATGCACTCGCCCAATGATTTATTTTTGGGCCAGTAACTATCCATCTTTTGAAATTTCTAATCGCCCAATCAAAGTTTTGGTCGCATTTGGCGACCAGGCGACTGGCTGTGTCCTATGCTGGTATTGATGTGTTTTCGACAGAAAGGCGGAGACCATTACTCTACACCCGCTATCCAACATGTGGGGGACAACAACAGGATGTGTAAACAAATATTATTAACATACTAACCTTCATCAGTGTCCTTAGCTGTAATAACAGGCTGTGTATAGGCCAATAATGTTCCAATCACGTTCTTCTGTATCTGGTGTATATCCTCAATGAAATATGATGATAAGGGAACAGAACACATGATTGTATGTAGTTCAAATAAAACTGATAGGCTGGTAAGGTCCTTAAACTGTAACATATACAAAGTATCAATATCTCTCTTCAAATCAATTTAATCAATTTCCCAAATATTACACTATCCTGCTTCCCAAAAATAAGTAAAGCTGATAAAAATATTACATTATAATTTGTTTACCAAGACAATTTTGATTGGACTGTTTTATCAGGTAAATTCACATTTTACCTTCCAAAATCCTTTTTGCAATGCCTGATGACATTTCCATTGATCTAAATATTTGTAAAGAGTTCTGTGGTATCCTGTGCCATGTCTGCAATTGCTTATGCAGAGTAAAAGTGTATGGTGACTGTCAAAAATAAGTCCATCAATCAGTAAAATACAAAAAAAAATCATTTTTTGTTTTTCTTCAGATGCTAGTTCCTAATCAGCCTTAACTAAATATTAGCCAATATTCATAAACCTTCTTTGAATACAGTCCAGACACGTAACATTTATTGATTGATTGATTTAATGGTGTTTAAAACCACTTTTAGCACTATTGGCTATTCAGTGGCTGCCATTTTAATTGGTAGAGGAAGACAGAGTGCCCAGAGAGAACCACTGACCATTGGTTAACATTTATTGTTTGTAGCATAATTACAAATATTGCTTACCTCCCCTCCTCTGGAGGATATCAGGAAACATAATGTAGACTTGACAATTTCTAGACAAGGTTTAACAACAGCAAGATAGTAGGTCATATTTTCTGAACTCTGTGGACATCCCTGCTGCCATTTTCTGATCAATATATCATTCACTTTCTGGAACAAATAAAAGTAGATTTAAGGTTATGATCATTTCAAAAACATCTGTATCAGTTAAATTGCATTTTTATGTTGCCAATTAAATTAGTATATTAGCCTAGTTAATAATATTTAGCATTGAGAATTGAAAGGTCAGTTTATCCCATTCAACAATAGTTGATAAATTTGGCTTCTTACCATTTACCTTGTCCAAAATTTAGGACACTCTATTGGTTTTGTGATATTGTTAAAAAGTTTATGCATCTTGAATTACTTATTCAAAATCTGTGAATATAGAATTATTTTGAGTCTTTTGGCCTTTTAATTGCATTTTACATTACATTGTTAATATTTTGTGATACAAGAAAATACTATCTGTCTGTTTGTAATAGAAATAGACTAGAAAATACTATCTGCCTGTTTGTAATAGAAATAGACTATCATTGACATGTTTTCTATTTCACTCTCTTGTTCACACCAAAATCTGATGTTTAGTTGCAAAATATTTCAAATGAGAGGTGAAATTCTTCCCATCTTAAGGTTCATCATAACAAATGGACACAAATACATGTGTTTTCACCTAAATATTTGCTCTGAGTATAGACAAACATGTGCTGTTGGAAAAGTTTTCAGGCCTAAGTAAAATGCATTTTGTGTATTCAGAAAGATGAAAATAGCTTTTTTCTTTGTTGTGTTATAAATAATTTGGAGACATAATAAAATATATAAATCTTACCTGCAGTATTGTTATGAAGATAGGGAAAGCATCCTCTCCATAAACATCAAGTAAAGCATACTTGTATTTTATTTCTTCTGGGACATCTGAAAGCATATACAATAAATTACACTATATACCAAAAATATTGAAGAATGAAATAAGATACATTAAATATATAAATGTACATGTGTACATTGACAGAAAAGGCACTTTTGTATGAAGGGTAGAATTTTAAAATCTCTCCACTTCCTTGGTTTGTTGTAAATAAATTGAAATTATAATATGTAATTATAAATGTCTAGCATAAAGAAATCCCTTCATATAAAGGGTACAAGTAAAACCATTGATGAAGTTTTCTGTTTTTCAATTTTTATAAACATGTTTTTTTTTTTTTTTATTTGTGTGTGTGTGTGTGTGTGGGGGGGGGGGGGGGGGGGGGTTAAATACATGTTTCTATTGGCCGTTCTTTTTTGTAAATAAATTCACCAACAGATGGAATAGAATAGTTACAAGAGGGAGTGGTATTTTCTGTACAAGAACTTACCCTCTGGGTACTCTGTTTCTATCGGTATAGTCATATGTCTCAGTATTCTACATGTAGTTATAAGTGGGCGTGGTATTTTCTGTATGTGAACTTACCCTCAGGGTACTCTGTTTCTTTAGGGATAGTCATATGTCTCAGAATTCTACATGTAGTTATAAGTGGGCGTGGTATTTTCTGTACATGAACTTACCCTCAGGATAATCTGTTTCTTTAGGTATAGTCATATGTCTCAGTATTCTACATGTAGTTATAAGTGGGCGTGGTATTTTCCGTACATGAACTTACCCTCAGGGTACTCTGTTTCTTTAGGTATAGTCATATGTCTCAGTATTCTACATGTAGTTATAAGTGGGCGTGGTATTTTCCGTACATGAACTTACCCTCAGGGTACTCTGTTTCTTTAGGTATAGTCATATGTCTCAGAATTCTACATGTAGTTATAAGTGGGCGTGGTATTTTCCATACATGAACTTACCCTCAGGGTACTCTGTTTCTTTAGGGATAGTCATATGTCTCAGAATTCTACATGTAGTTATAAGTGGGTGTGGTATTTTCCGTACATGAACTTACCCTCAGGATAATCTGTTTCTTTAGGTATAGTCATTTGTCTCAGTATTCTACATGTAGTTATAAGTGGGCGTGGTATTTTCTGTACGTGAACTTACCCTCTGGGTACTCTGTTTCTTTAGGTATAGTCATATGTCTTAGTATTCTACATGTAGTTATAAGTGGGCGTGGTATTTTCTGTATGTGAACTTACCCTCTGGGTACTCTGTTTCTTTAGGTATAGTCATATGTCTGAGTATTCTACATGTAGTTATAAGTGGGCGTGGTATTTTCTGCATTCCTTCGACCACCTGTTTCAGTTGTTGTACAGCAGAAGATACACCATCATAGTTGTAAGATGTAATGTATTTGATTGGAGCCAACCATTCCTGGAGTTCTAAAAGTTTACTACTGTAATCTACAAAGACAAAGTCAGTAAATATTAACAGCCTTACTGTATATGCTGTTTACTTTTGTCATATGTAAAGTTGAACTGAAAGAAAAAGAAAGAATATAAACCACAAAAAAGACAACCTATGTGAATAAGACAAATGCAAAATATTTTTTGTAAATGATTGTTTATTTGATTACGTATGTTTTTATTGTTTGTTTTTTAAAATCTATTTTCAACCTAGCTGGGTACCATTATTTGAATCCATTCAATAAATGATTTAACCACACCAAATTTTGTCCCTTTACCAAGTCATCCTATCTGGACAATGTGTTGTTAATTGTTTGTCTGTGTATGTATATTTTCTGGGTGGAGTCTGTTGTTGTTAGTTAGTGTGGTCTATTGTACTGTCCATTACATAAGTTAATTCCCGTTATCCATTTTATGTAATAATCAATATATACTGTTGCACTACAGTTAAGTTTATGAGGTATAGAAAAAATAAGAGATTTTTAATAATACTACATTTTCATATGGTTATATCCAATTCTTTATCAAATCATTCTTAATGCAGCATTTATAGACTCTAATGAACAAGCTAAACTTACTGGGAATAACAATACAGACTGATACCATAAATCAGCAAAATGTAAACATAACATAGCTGCCAAGCACACAAAAAATATATTCCCATTTTGTAAAATAGTTGATCTAAATAAAGACGGATGTTTATTGTTTAGTTTCTTACAGTACCTGCTTCACAAATCTGTACAAGTCTGTTACTAAACTTTTCAAGTAAACCAACATCACTAGAGTTTCTGATAACCAACAGAAGTAACTGTAAACTGTAACTGGCACAGACACTCTTCTTTAATTTAGCATCTCTCTCTTCAATTCCTAATGTAATAAAAAAAGTATATGGTCATACAATTTTTGTAATGCAATTGTTGTTTTCAATGGATATTTGCTCTGCATTTTGATTATGTATAATACCAGTACCAAAATATTATTTAGTGTACACTAATTTTTGTTTGTTTCAAAACCCATTTAATCCTTTCACAGCCATGGCACTTTTTTGAAAATACAAATGTTCTGTTTTCAAAAATAAGAAACAAGAATGTACTCATTGTTGTGCTATGCATATCCCATTCCTCATTTAAAGTATCTGAAAACATGAAGTAAGTGCCTGACAGATCCAAAAAGAGCTCACACATTAGAACTCCTCCCTGCCAAGTCTATGACCAAATATAAAGCCATTTTGTTCAGCAGTACAGGAGAAATGTGTTCTGTAATTTTTTAGAGAGATAACTCCATTTTAACTAATATCATATCTAAATTAAGCTTAAACAATACATTAACAAAGATCATATTTACACTGGGCTTACTCAACCGAGGCAGTACAATTAATCTTTTCTTATCTTACCTGTAAGTTCGATGAATGGTAATAAAGATTTAATATTATAATCAGCACTAAACACTCTGACAAGGGCATCTCTTCCAACAGCTGTCACAGTCATGGTATACAAGTTATGTAGAGTGGCCAGAGCTCCACTGTCATCAAGCTCAGTATCCTCTGTAATGTAAAAAGTAACAAGATGTAGTATGAGTTTCTGCTCACTAATTTATAATCCTGCTCTTGCTTTTGAGTGAAAGGAAATACACATACCAAACAATGTGGAAGCAGCCAACAGAAAGTAGATAAGCATATTGTTAAGCTTACCAAAACTTGGTATCAAATAAACAATTCCTTGTAAGTGTCAGAATGTCTAGAGAGTGACAAGTCTATCCCACTATAATCAGACAGACCTTTTTGTTTCTAATTAAATCAACCAACCATAATTTACCTGACAAATTGTTCTGGGGCTGTTCAATGTTCTAACCTTGATAGTTGTGACATGTAACCTAAAAATATCACTATGTAAAGCTATCAATCTTCTATAAAACTTTGAGTATTATATTACCTTTATTATGGAACTCATTTAGTTGATCTATGTATTGAAGTGTCTGTAGATGATACACCATCTCTACTCCAAACATCTGTAGTGGGTTGTCATCAGAATCATCCCGTGCATAATCCTGCAATCAACAATACAAATACAATTAGCATGGAACTTAAACTGGCCTGGGAACTCAACCAACATTGGGCTATACGCATTTAACCCTAACACTATACCTAACACTTACACTAGCCCTAAGACCTAAATTAAACCTTTATCCTAAAGTCCAGCAACTCTTTTCACAAAAAATCTTATGATTAAAATTGATCGTAATTTATACTGAAATGTGTATGACTTATGAGTATTTCTACTCTTAAGATCTTTTGTGAAAAGAGCGGCAGGGTCCTCTAACAGTAAATTAAGACCCTTAAATTCCATGATTAAATCATTTTGTCATGATTTTTTTTTCACAACTACTTACTGTGTGACATGTTTAAAGAATGTGGCATGATATCTTGTAAATGGGTGTTTCTATCAATGTTAATCAACTTCTGTGTAGGATCACAAATTGACTAATTCTCAAGTTGTTATGGATGTTTTAATTTTTATTTCATAATTTGTATCTCTCTGGCTTTTTCCTATAACAGCATTTCAAAAATATTAACCAGCAGATTTTTATATAAAAGAACACACATATTCTTAGCAGTTCGGTTTATATCACACCACCTACACAGAGATGCGAGTTCTCATTTCAGTAAGAAACAAACTGTACTAACTATTCAGGTTTAAATGATGAACTTCTCAAAAGGAACATAAAGTATCTTTAATTTCCTATAAAATTCTAGTCTGAAAAACTTTTCAATTGTCATGATTTTCATGATATATCAAACTTTGTAAAAATATGTTGTTGACATTCAATACTTGTCTTAAAGTTATATGAAAACCTCTCACGCTTTTGTTTATTTTTTTTTGTTGTTGTTGTTGGATTGCTGTCACAATTACAATTTTCATTTTTTAATTTACATAGATAACATGTTTTAACAAAACCCTCTTTGAAGTTCAGTTTTTATTCTGTCATATTAATAGTACTGAAGTACTTACTGGACCATGAAGCAGGAATTTTACAATACTGTTGGTGACCTCTGTCTGAGAGCTGAGATACAACAGTCCATGATGGGTATGTAGAAATAACTGCAACAGATTTATAATGGAGGACAAAATTATAGGATGGTTCCCTGTAACAGGTGAAGAAATAAGAACCAGTAGACTCTGTAGCAGGTGACATTTGTTTGCATAGTGATACAGATTAGGATACGGATCACTAATTGGCTGAGCTACTTCAAACATGGTCTTCCCTGGCAATCCTCTCTTTGGCTGGGACTGAAACAAAACAAAAACACTATTTCAACATCTAATGTGAACATCAATGTTTGAAATTTATCCTTTAAAATACAGAAACTTTATTGATGAATTTGCTAAAGATAACCTTTCCCCAATCTTAAACAAAGATAAATGGGGAATGTGTCCATGGCTTGCATATCATATAAAGTTATAAAGGGACATAACTAAAGAACGGTAAAAGTGACGCTACCCAAATTTGTACTTGATCTGAGTTTTGTGATAATAAGTATTGTGTATAAGTTTCATATCATTTGGTTGAGGCAAACTTAAGTTAAAGAACGGAAAAGAAAAATTCAGCAACTTTTCCATTTCTAAAGGGGCATAACTCTAGAACAGTAAAAGTGAAACCAACGAAATTCAAACTTGATCTGTATTTTGTGGTAATAAGCATTGTGTATAAGTTTCATAACATTTGGTTGAGGTTAACTTAAGTTAGAGAAAGGAAATGAAAAATTCAGCAATTTTTCCATTTGTAAAGGGGCATAACTCTAGAAAGGTTAATGTGACACCACCAAAAATCAAACTTGATCTGTTTTGTGTTAATAAGCATTATGTATAAGTTTCATAACATTTGGTTGAGGCAAACTTAAGTTAGAGAACAGAAACCAACTTTGGGACATACGGACGGACAAGGGTAAAACTTAATGCCCCCTCCACTATGGCGGGGCATAAAAAATCATGTGAAATGATAGTTTTGAAGTTGTAGCCTATCGATATTCATTCAAGTGTAAAGTAATTGTGTTGCCAGCTTACATGTCACTTATTCTGAATGTGGTGAAACAGAATAGAATTTTCTAATGTCTGTATGTCTGTTGACACTTATACTTACAATTAAATGTGGTGCTATAGAGAAGACTTTAGTAATGTCAGCCATGGTTTTGATTATCTGTTGATAGTCCTCATTACTTAGGTTGTCATCTTTGCTGATATCAATATTTATAACCCTATTATATGAAAAAAAAGAAATAAATTTTACATAAATTTATAAAATTTACAATATCGCTGTTTTACTAATTGTTCAGTTTATTGGCTAAGTACTGTTCCACTTGTTTTTACTTAAAGAAGGCACACAGTTTCTCAATGAACCACTAGTAGATTTCACATTTAAATATAATGTTCTTATATGGTTGAATTCCAAAGACAGTGATACATTTAATGATTCTAAATTCCTTTCTGAGGGTGTGTTAGATTAAATTTCATGCACAAGTTTTATGTTTTTGAAATAACCTCAATCAGGTATTATCCAGACAAAAAAAAAAATAGACCAGAATTCACAAAATATTCATTTACATTAATTTGTGGTTCATCTTTAACTGTGAAATCCACAAAAATTGGTATCCTATAATGATAATGAATCCACAGTACTGAACAGCCTCTAATATTAAGATTTATATATTTACCTTTCAGTGAATGCTGATAATCTGCTCATAATTTCATAATAATGGACTTTTTTTATGATTGCTGTTAAGGCTACCAAGACTCTCACAACCTAAGATAAATAATTGTAATAAAATATATGTTTGCTACTATTATTATATAGCTTGCAGTGAAGAACAAATAATAAACAGAATTTTTTGTGATGATAGTAAAAAAATTACCATAACAATAAGGCAGCACAAATTTAGAAGGAAACAGTCTATATTATATTCCCCCCTTACATTTCACAAGATTTGATGTAATAAACAATTTAGGTACTCTGCAAATTCAAAGAAAGAAAAGATGCATCTCTACAAACAATATTAATCATCATGCTGTCATCAGGGGTGTACAGAATTTTCAACACAGGTGTAAAATTCCGTACACCCCTGATTACACCAAGATAACTTATTTATTTATCATTAAGTGTCCCTTAACTCATTTTTACCCTGGGCAAATATTTTCACCTACCTTCTTAGCAGACGTAAATGAATAAAGTTATGGCCCCTTTTCTAACTATGTAAGCAAAAACAATGCAGAAAAAAAAACTAAATTATTACTGTGATGTGTTAACTTTTTAATATAAAAATGAATATATTATACATATTATTGTTTATAATCATGGAAATTTATGTAAATGCATCATTTTATATTGCTGCATGTAGTTAAATATTACTTTTTTTAGTCCTAGTGTAAATAGTTTAGCTGAGGTGGGTTGTTATTTACACCCAGGAAATTAACCAATCAGATTGCAAGATTCTTGCTTCAAAAGAAATAATTCTAATGATTCACACATGGACTAGACTCATTAATGAATAACTGGAGATGTTCAGTCACTAGTTTACACATAAATCTGCACAATATCCTTTTATTTTTCTCTTTAGTCTGATTACTGGCAATAAAAAAAGTTTGAACAGTTCTCTCATTTCATATAACCTTTGATACCAATACAATGTATAACGTCACAATACCCAAATTGCACCTATTTAGCAAAAATAGCAGCTAAAATCTTACAAGTTTTCCTGGAGACTTAACCACATGTATTTTTATGATTTGAAACTATGCAAGTCTATCAACATAGGTAAATATATTTAAATATACACAAAACATTCACAGTATATATCAACAGATGAAGTGTTCACTGGAAAAAGTAACATGTACGGAAACGTCGCCATGCAACATCCACAAAAAGTCATCTTTTAGAAATTAGTAAATAAAATATGTTACAAGTATCCATTTCTTTAAAAATGAATAGTAAGCATGGACTAATGTCCAATTGTTCTTAATTTTTGAAGAAATAATACAAAAGATCTGTTATTTGGCTTTTAAGGATGTGAATTTCAGCATGGATGCAATTTGGGTACTCCTCATTACAGAATCATAAATCGTTTGGAGGTCTGTTCAAACCCATTTTTCTATGATTAAATACGGATTCAAAATTAAATTGGTGGAACCCTATAGTAAATAATGATACATCTACAAAATAAACACAGAATGGAAACTTTTCTCTAGATCATAAATAAACGTAGGTGAAAAAACTGTCAAAATAGGTGCAATTTGGGTACCCTCACGTTACAGGTTTTGGTTCATGTTGAATGCATATGGAACATGAATGTCCATTTCACCATACCTTTGCCTTAGAAAAGACTAAATGTTTAATACAAGTGTACACCTTCCAACTTTTCAAAATCTCCATGGGGGATTTTAAGAGCAAGAGGACTAATGCTACTCTTATATTGTTATAGGTGTTTTTAATCTACTACTATATTCTTTGAATGAGTATAAAATTGAGAATGGAAATGGGGAATGTGTCAAAGAGACAACAACCCGACCATAGAACAGACAACAGCAGAAGGTCACCAACAGGTCTTCAATGCAGCGAGAAATTCCCGCACCCGGAGGCGTCCTTCAGCTGGCCCCTAAACAAATATATATACTAGTTCAGTGATAATGAACGCCATACTAAACTCCAAATTGTACACAAGAAACTAAAATTAAAAATAATACAAGACTAACAAAGGCTAGAGGCTCCTGACTTGGGACAGGCGCAAAAATGCGGCGGGGTTAAACATGTTTATGAGATCTCAACCCTCCCCCTATACCTCTAGCCAATGTAGAAAAGTAAACGCATAACAATACGCACATTAAAATTCAGTTCAAGAGAAGTCCGAGTCTTATGTCAGAAGATGTAACCATAGAAAATAAACAAAATGACAATAATACATAAATAACAACAGACTACTAGCAGTTAACTGACATGCCAGCTCCAGACTTCAGTTAAACTGATTGAAAGATTATGTCTTCATCATATGAATATCAGGCACAATCCTTCCCGTTAGGGGTTTAGTATCATACCATCATAACATATATGAGAAGAACATAACCCGTGTCATGCCAACAACTGGTTTTTAAATAAATGTGTTTAGTGCCGATGCAAAGACCCTATAAGTGAATCAATATTAATGCCAAAATATGCAATCTTTAATGACCTGACAACAGTATCGTAACTATATCCCTTCTTAATAAGTCTATTTAAAGGTTTTGTTAGCTTCATAGGTGAATACTGACATTTTTGTGCTTTATAAAGAATATTTCCATAAAAATTGGATGTGAAATACCTGAACGTATAAGAAGTCTGCATGTTGAGCTATATTTACGAATGATGTCCTTATACCGATGATAAAATTTAGTAAATGTTTTGCCTAGTTTGTGATATCGAAAACCCTGGTGTAATAAATTTTCAGTAATACATAAATTTCTCTCGTTAAAATCTAAAACATTGTTACATACACGAGCGAATCGTACAAGTTGAGATATATAAACACCGTAAGATGGTGACAAGGGAACGTCACCATCTAAAAATGGATAATTAACGATAGGAAATGAAAAATCATCTCTTTTATCATATATTTTAGTATTAAGCTTTCCGTTAATGATATAGATATCAAGATCAAGGAAAGGGCAGTGGTCATTGTTAGTATTAGCTTTATTTAAAGTAAGTTCAACATGCATGTACTTAAGGTAGATTGGATGTCTTCCACCATCTTGGGTTGTAAAATTGCAGGAAACAATCAGTCTAGATCATTAATGGAATGGGCAAATTTCGAGTAAGAATGTAATTCATTTGTAAAACTTTTCAAATAAATGAAGAAAATTGTGTTTTTTTATATTTTAACGACTGTTTCTTGTTTGACTCAATTTTGTTCAACTTTGCCATTTAAGGGGAGATAATGTCAGCCATGGTTTTGATTATCTGTTGATAGTCCTCATTACTTAGGTTGTCATCTTTGCTGACATCAATATTTATCACCCTATTATATGAAAAAAAAAAGAAATAAATTTTATAGGATGAAAAAAAAGAGATAAAGTTACTTTTATGAAGGAATGTGTTATGAATTTAGCTATTTTGTTTTGTAGCAAGAAAACTAGTCACGCAACGGACCCCATCTTTTCTTTTTATTTTCTGAAAGCACTCTATAAGAGTTATCTTCTCATATTTCATCTTTGAATTGTATGGTTTAGTTTTCTTTTTATCACACAAAATAGGAGTTTCCATACATAACCTTTACAAAATCTGACAATTTTGCACAACCTGCAGCTTGAAAAGAAGCCCAGTGACCCATACTTTTTATTATATTTTTGAAAAAAGCATGATGTAAAGTACATTTTGGCAAATTATTAAAAAAAAATCTATGGATTTGAATTTAGACCTCCTATTTACCTTAAATATCCTTTTAACTCATTTGAGTGCCTGTTTTGAGGTGTTCAGATTATATAATAAAGAATTCCAAGATTCAGGTCAACACCTCTATTGGGGAAAATCCCCCATAAATCATGAAGGTTGGCAGTCTGCATGTGAAATTCTTACAAAAAAAAATATTCACTACTTTAATAAAAGATTAAAATATAACTAGAAATTGAGATAGTGTTTGTATATGGAATCAACTTAAAAATTTCAAGTTTCAGAAATAAAGTTTATTATAATGCATTTTCTATGAAAAAAAATTGTTTCTGTCATCCCAAATTCTCTTTGTGTTTTCACTAGACAATTTAAGAATAGTAGATTCCCATGCATTTAATGGATTAACTGCAGTATAAGCTCCAATCCTCTAATATTCATGACCACCATCCTTTCAGTCAATCCCCCATCCTTCAAAAAGTGTCAGGTAAAACGCTGAGAATATTTATTAAAACAAAAACAAAATTAAATAACTGAAGTTTTATATTTTGTAACAGTTACAATAGTACATGTATATACCTGTTTTGTCTGCATTATATTTATGATTCTTTGGTAGCAAGTTTCTTGACCTGTGTTGTCTTGGAGACTATGTTTCCCTAGTAACCAGTCCATACCACAAGACAGCCTTGTTGATTGGTCGAGAGCTTGAACAATTTGTAGTTTGACAGAAAATGATGTATATTGATCTGTGAAAATGTCTAACAGCTTATGTTGTACATCTCTGGACTGAAAACAAGGAGGAGGAAATGTATTTAATTTCATGTACAACGAAAAATATTGCCCTGTATTTTTAAACACCATATTTTCACTATGGACCTCTAATTCCTATTTGGATTAATCAAACCAGACTTTTCATTCAACGTCAGCCACTAATTGATAGAAAATTTACTCCCGAAAAAATAATTATACTGAAAAGTTAATAAGCATTGTTATGAAATGCATAAAGTATATTGTGAATACCAATATCCATTAAAAGGAATCAAGTATACATTATTTAGTAATGCTATAAAACAACAAACCAGAACATTTGTAGCTACAGCTTCATCACAACTACAGAGACTGGCAGCCACTCGGATCCCCATTTTTAAATGACGCACTTTATAAGCTGCATCAGGCTGGCTGATAACCTGCTCTAGGTTCAGACCCTCTAATGTCCATTCTGTCAATGTATCTAAGATATCTTAAATAGAAAAAAACAACATCTTTATTACAAAACGAACAATTTAACTGTTTCATCCAAAATATTTCATTTGTAATAATACATGGCTGTATGTGTACTTTATCAGTAGAAATTGTGAAATTTGAAAATAAAACAAACTAATATCTTTATGAATGTGTCAGAAGGAAGTAATCTATAGGTCAAAATAGACAATCTTCTACTGAAACTTAAGATACTTCCATGGAAAAGATAGAATCACCTGTAAAAATCAATCTTCAATTTTTTATATTCCATAGACAAGACAAAATTTCAAGCCTTTAAATTATATATTGATATTATATGTTATCTTAAAAATGTATAGAGAGAGATAAAACTACAATAGATTAGGAAAGCTGTATAGTATTTGGTAAAATGTAGTTATAACATAAGGTTTTAATTGTATTGTTTAAGGCTTTTCAATTAAAACATAAATGATACCAAGGGAAGGAAAAAAAATGGCAGAAACAAGCTTAATAGGCATTTTCAGAAATTCTCTTACATTTCAGTGTTTTCTTTTACACCAATCCATAGTAGAGATTTAGAAATGCTTTCCTGTGTCTCATGTACGGTTTTATGCAATGATCCTTACCTTTTCTGTTATCCTTGTATAAAAGGTAAAACAGTCCTTTAGGTAACAGACCAGGGACACTCTCCATCGATTCAATCCATCTGTAAAATGATTGATCATTAAATTTTAAGATATATAACAATAGAGTGAGAAATTAGAACATATTGCCCTTCACTGAAAAGAGAAAAATATTTTTGACATCCTAGAAAATAAAAAAATAAAATTTCTATGATCTTGCAGCCATAAGTGTGAGCTCTCGAATTATTATTTATATATAATTGGTATTCCTGGTTTTCTGTAATAATTCTATTAAATATAATACAGTTACTACAATATATCTTACTTAGCATGGTGATCGGCATCAGTAAACTGTTCAATAAAAGTCAGTAATGTAACAGCTTCTTCAGGTTTTTCTCTGTGTTTAATCAAAACTTGTTTCTCCTGTTCAAATTTTGTTTGAGAAATATCAGGAAATGTCTGTAAAATGAAAACAATAAAAATGTTTATTTTAAATGGCTACAGTTCTTGAGTTTTTGTTGGTCTCTTTTCCTTTCTGATATTTATAATTAAGTCTAATAATGCTATCAAAATACTGTAAATTCAGAAATTAATGAGAGTTTTTATTAATGCAAATAATGTGACTTGGTGAATATTGCAATAACAAGAACTTGCATTCTGATATCTGTTACATATATCTGTATGCAGCTTTTCCTGAAATGGTAATAATCAATCTTGAATTTTGGTTGGTCATTTCAAAATTGCAATATTAAATCTTACAATAATTACTTTTAAGTCATCAATAAACCAGTAAAGAGATCAACAACTGATTGAGATACCATTATTCTATAAAAACGTAACAAGGTGATATAGCTCCTCCCACTGTTAGATATAAAGTATAACATGTACTCTTACAGTGGGGTATGAACTATATGGTACAAGACTAAACCATATGATTTAATAAAACCAAAAAAACATGTCACACATTTTCATTTTCCTTGTCAAAATGATACACATTTCCTCTATCTAAATACCTTTTTTCCTATGAAAAAAATGTATAGAAAAATAAACTGATTTAATTCACCAAAGCATCCAGGAAGATATTCATAGACTTACAGTAAGAGGAGTCACTTCAGCTCTAAACGGATTATAATTCCCAATATCATATGTCCAAGAATCATCTGTTAATTCATCTGTAATCTCATACATATCTATACCCTGTAATAACATTGACAATACTATATCTAATGTAAACTTTTTCATATCTAATAGTGTAAACAAATTCTACTTTCACTTTCATTTTTGGGCAATTCCCTACTCTATTAATAGATTTATCATTTTTTGAAAGTACCATTCTTGTTTAGTTTATATTTTGTTGTACAAAAACATAAAATTTAAAACTGATTTTTTTTTATATAGGACAGCCAGTGACAGAATAAAGGTTATGTAAACATTACTTCAATGAAACTCCTTGAGAACAAAGCTTGCTGTCTCAGAAATTAATTAGACATTTGAAATTACATCAATGAAGGATGAAACCTCACTATTTATCATATGACTATACTGCATAATGAATTTAATTAGACACAGTACAATAGGCATGTTTTACTTCTTTTCTCATTAAATACACCTTCTTAACACTGTCATCAAAACAAACTTTCATCCTTTATAGGTTTAACCATTTGAATTGGTAATTTTACATAAAATCTATTCAAAATTTAATGGGATTGACTTGATGTGAAAGTAAATAGACCTGTGTTAGTGTTGCAGAATGTTACTATAGAAACAAATGGTCACTTACAGCAAGTTCTGATGGTTCCATCATGTCTTCATCTGACGAAATATTTTCATAATTATCATCCTGAAAGAAAAATACACTTCTAAACAAACTTAAACTTTGTGTAAACTTTAGTCTATTTTATGTGATAAAAGACAAATGTTTGAATTTAAAGAGACAAAGAAATCATGTGAGTAGTATATATAATTGAAATTTTATATTTCTGTTCATTGTTTGTAGGTAATTAATTACATTGGTCCTGTAGGTCTGTTCAGGGCTTAAAGACATATGCTTTACTCAACATTGAATTTTCTGTAACTTACCAAATGAAGAGTATATGAGTTACTTGTAATTCACGATCTGATGAGTTTGAATTATCTGTAACTTACCAATTGAAGATTACAGGAATTACCTTTAATTCACCATCTGAAGAGTATATGTAATACCTGTAATTCACTATTTGATGTGTATTTGAAATACCTGTATTTCAAGATCTGATGAGTGTTAAAATTACCTGAAATTCTCCATATGAAGAGTATATGAAATACCTGTACTTCACCAGCTGATGAGTATACTAATTACTTGTAATACATCATCTGATGACTTTATTATTTAACTGCAATTCTCCATCAGATAAGTGTATTAATTAACTATAATTCACCATCTGATGAGCATATGTATTACCCTGTAATTCACCATCTGATGAGTATACTAATAACCTGTAATTCACAATCTCATGAGTATACTAATATCATGTAATTTGCCATCTAATGAGTAAACTAATTACCTGTAATTCACCATCTGATGAGTATACTAATTACCTGTAATTAACAATCTGATGAGTTTGTATTACTTGTCATTCACCATCAGATGAACATACAAATTACCTGTAATTCACCATCTGAAGAGTATTTTAATTACCCGTAATTCACAACCTGATGAGTGTATGGATTACCTGTAATTCACCATCTGATGAGTTAACTAATTACCTATAATTCACCATCTGATGAGTATACTAATTACCTGAAATTCACCATCTGATGAGTATACTAATTACCTGTAATTCTCCATCAGAAGTCTCAAACATTCCTCCCTGGTCAGGGGTCAGTGGTTCTAAATATTCCTGTTCCCCATCATCCATAATGTCTCCTAAAATGGTAATATTTATTCCTTAATTACTCCTAAAATGGTGATATTTATTCCTAAATTACTCCTAAAATGGTGATATTTATTCCCAAATTACTCCTAAATTGGCGATATTTATTCCTAAATTACTCCTAAAATGGTGATAATTATTCCTAAATTACTCCTTAAATGGTAATATTTATTCCTAAATTACTGCTCAAATTTTAATGAAAGTAATTAAAGACATATGAACTAAATTAAAAAAATCACTGTTAAAAATTTTGACATTCAGGCAACCATACATCATAAATCATTAAACTTTAGCAAGACACTCTTAATATTTGACTTTCGAACAATTTATTATTGGTGTTACAAGATGGGAAGGTCCCTGTTCAAACACTCTGATTGGTTCTGACATCATTTACCAGGACAGTGTGAATGAGCAGTGCTATTTACTAGGTTCTTAGTTAATATCATGAAATGGTGCATATTCCACTACCAATACTTTAAAAAATAAAATGCTCCGCTGGGGCGCAGCTTGATACGACCGCAGAGGTCAAACCCTGAACAGTTGGGGCAAGTATGGACACAACATTCAAGCTTGATACAGCACTGAATTTGGATTGTAATTAAATATTTGACACAGCATAGGTTTCTGACACAGAATGAAAGTGGTCTAAGAACTTATAATTTTTTAATTTACCTATTCATATATGTGATGGACTGTGAAATTTTGGTCAGGAGATTAGGACTCAGATCAGGAGGTTTTTAATCGACATAAATTTTGTCGTAAATGTAACCGTGTGCTGTAAAAATGGTCTTTTAAAGTGTGTTTTCTTCAACTTTCCATCCAATTTATTATGTTTATAGTACCCTTGTACTTATAAAGTTTCTCCATCTTTATATTTTACATGTTCAATCTAACATTTTTTTTTTTTCAGTATGTTCTTTAAATTTTTTACTTCATATTCTATAAAACATTTATTGCAACCAGAACATTTGTTTAACTATCTGCAAATAGCTTTTGTTTGCATACTCAGAAAATCATTCTACCTGTGAAACAAGGGTCATAGTTATTATATAAATTTCAATTTAAGCCTTGAAAGGAAGTATAGAATCCTCAAATAATTTTCAAATTATTATTTTTTTATTTGTCCTAAGACATTTAAAATCATTTATTTACCATCCTTTTATGATTATTTGTTCAATTTATATTTTATTTATATTCTTTTAAAAATTTTCATTATTAAAAGGAAAGTAACTTAAAACAGGATAAATCAAGGGAAGTAACCCAATAAATACACAGTTTTTGTTACACAACGGCAGTTAGCCTGAGGTAAAAAATCGTTGATTACCAGTATGTTTGACACCCAAGCTGACAAGTGAAGCCATATAATTATGCATGTTAATTGATTTACAGGTAAAATATAACTTCAGGTAATGTGAGTTACACCAGATGCCTGAGATGATATGTTGGGCAGAAATTTTTCATTCATGAAAAATTTCATACACGGGATTATAATTTTCCTCTTCAACCGGAGGTCGGGAGGAGACTCCTGAAAACAGGATTATTGTACTCCTGTCGGGAGGTTCACATGTATGCGATTCAAACCATATCATTATTATTTGCTTTTATATATAAATCAGAAATAACCAATTTAAAATGGAAAATTTTAAAGAAAAAAAAGAAAAAAAAAATCCCCCCCCCAAATTTTTGAACCCCCTTATGATTCATCGCCCCCACACTCAATCCCAGCTTTCCCTTTGTGGTATGGTACCTTGCAGTACAATTTTAGAGAGATCCATTCACTTGAACACAAGTTATTGTCTGGAAACTAGAAAAATGCTTGTTTTTTTGTCCCTTTTTGGCCCCTAATTCCTAAACGTTTAGGGCAATTACCCCCAAACTCCAACCCAGCTTTCCCTTTGTGATATGGAACCTTGCAGTACAATTTCATAAAGATCCATACACTAACACACAAGTTATTGTCCTGAAACTAGAAAAATGCTTGTTTTTTGCCCCTTTTTGGCCCCTAATTCCCCAAATTTGGAGGAAATTACCCCCAAAAATCAATCCCAGTATTCCCTTTGTGATATGGAATCTTGTGATACAATGTCAGAGAGATCCATACACTAACACACAAGTTATTGTCATGAAACTAGAAAAATACTTGTTTTTTGCCCCTTTTTGGCCCCTAATTCCTAAAATTTGGAGGCAATTACCCCCAAAATCAATCCCAGCATTCCCTTTGTGATATGGAACCTTGTGGTACAATGTCAGAGAGATCCATATACTTACACACAAGTTATGTCTGGAAGTCACAAAAATGCTTATTTTTGGCCCCTTTTTGGCCCCTAATTCCTTAACTGTTAGTACCATAACCCCCAAAATCAATCCCCACCTTCCTTTTGTGGTATTGAACCTTATGGTAAAATTTCATTGAGATCCATTCACTTAAACTAAAGTTAGAGTGCGAAAACTAATGTGTATTCGGACGACGACGCCGGACGACGACGACGACGCCAACGACGCCAACGTCATACCAATATACGACCACAAAAATTTTTTTGCGGTCGTATAAAAATGTCATTGACACATATTTGAAAATTTTAAGATTGACTTTATATTCCTGAATACCTGTAGTCAGATTTGAAAACAAGAAGCCAGGATCCTAAATGGCTTATTCTGCAAAACTGCACCTTCATTGCTGAAGAAAGTATAAAACTTCAGATGAATCAATGAGTAATGTTTGTGATGTCATAAAAGCTCCTACTTCAATTTTGCATTAAATTGAAACAATGAATTACTTCCTGTTCAAAATGTCAGATGCAATAATTTTGCCCTCATGGAAATCTTAATAAGGAGTTCTACCTTAGGAAAATTTTCAATGAAGCTTAGAGCAGTTACTCGAACAAGCTCATTGAATCATGATGAATCAGATAAATAATAGACATATTATATCCCTTAGTAGGCATTTTAAATATGAATTTTCCTTCATAAAGTGTAGTATCTTTATGTGCAGTTTAATTGAAATCCATGAGACTGTTAAACAAAGATGGAATTGCATGTTCTGCCAAAAGAAATTGAGCCGTCTGAAATGACTGAAAATCCTTTGTTATACCACTTTATTTTTTTTAGAAAATGGTCTTTAATGCAAGAGGTCAACAGGGTCACTAAACAAAGTCAGGATACAACCATTGTATTTTTTAGATGAATTCTCAACACCATCACAGATATATGCATGGACTTTTTGTTATTTGGATATACATCTTAGTATGTTATAATAAATCAAATATGAGAATTTGAGACAAGTTGGTGAACATGAATTTGACAGCCAATGTCACTTTATATAGGTACATAATTTGATATCTTTTTGTCTGGCATAACAAGCCTATCTAATATAATACAGACCTGCATTATGTTCCTCTTCTGGTGGCATTATGGGAAATTCTCTCATAGGTGGAGGCTGTATGATACCAATAGGTACTGGTGCATCTCTTAGCTGATGGATAACTGTTGGTACCTGAACCGGTGGTTCCTCAAATGATTCTGACCTTGACCTCTGGGGTGATGGTGAAGGTGACCTTGGATGAGCTGGCTCTGGTGACCTTACAGGTGTCATGTTTGGTGTAAGTGACCTCTGCCTCCTTGGTGATCTTCGAGGTGACCTTGATGGTGTCCTTCTAGGTGATCTTGTACGTCGTGGTGACACAGATCGTCTAGGAGTCCTTGATCTAGCAGGGGATCTTGAATATGATCTAGATCTTGACCTAGAATGTGACCTTGACAATGATTTTCTTGCAGGACTTCTATTCCAATCTCTCTCACTATAATCCCTGGATTTTTCATTTTCTCTCTTCCTAAATCTTTCCCAAGCTTCCTTTTTTCTTCTCTCTTTTTCCCTTTCTCTGCTGCTATCTCTTACATCACGATCATGTGAGTTCTCACGGGATCGTTCATATTCCTCTTTCTTTCTATAATCATAAGAATCCCTAGACCTATCATCATATCTATCAAAGTCTCTGTCACGTCTATCATCTTTGAAGTCTCTTTGAGAACCACTGCCTTCGCTATGACCCATTAACTTTGGACTTTGTATAAATTCCTGTAATATATCTCTATGCTGTGGTGGATGACGATCCTCTGGACCTCTGTATCCTTCTCCGGCAGTCTGCCCTGCAGGTGATATCATCTGTCTCTGTGAAGCTGAACCAGTTTGAGGGGGAGGATGTGACAACTGTACCATGGCCTGTTGTTTTTTCTGTAAGTTGACTTGTTCTTGTATATAGTCCAGTGGATGTTGTGCTGGAGGAGGTTTGGCACCTGGACGAGTTGTCTCCCATTCTTGTAGTGGTATTTCTCCTGACACTGCACTTCTCGGTTCAACAGCTATTAACATAAGAAGAAGAAATCAAATACAGTAGGTCTCAGTGAGAATGTAATTTGGTGTCTAAGAGATGACCATGATAAATCTTTTTAATAATTTAGAAAAAAAAAATGCTTTTTGTCTTTTCCTGCACAAACAATTGTAAAAAGCTATTGTCTCATATTTGTTTCATTCATTTTACCAGGCTCATGCTATTGGGTGACATGGCCAATCAAGTAGACTTCTTTTCCTTCACTTTGCTTTTTCAAATATTGTTTTGAATTTACAGCTATATCCCATTTTTGATATAAAGAAATTTAGAATAGAGAATATTTATATAAAGAAATGAGACTGATGCTGTAGGCTGATCTTATAGGACTTTCTTGAAACTCACTTCGGAAAGACTGAATCTGATTTTAAAATTAATATTGAATACAAGTTATTTCTCTTGTTGGAAAGTATACTGTTACAAATACTGACTTGCTGCAATGCAAAGCAAGAGTGAGAAATAGATAGAAAACTATGTGTAACTTTCACAGACAAACATTTCCAGCTTTATAATGGAGTTTGAGTACAAATTTGTTGGAAGCAAAAATGTAAAGCAAAATATTGTCCCCCAAGACAATATTTCATGACTTTGTATTGTGAAATTTTGTCCCCATCTATGAAATAATGTCCAGAAAAGGACAAATTTCCATGATATGAAATTTTGTCCATATTGACATTATTTCATAGATAGTATGAAATTTTGTCTTGTTAAAGGGAGGTTATCTAAGGTTATATATTGTGTATATCGAGACAATATTTCATTGATGGATTGTCATGAAATTTTGACTCATGAAAGGGAGGTTATAAACATTAATATTTTGGATAATGATACCATTAAAGTGTTTATTTGATTGATAATAACTAACAAACCTGCATTCTTAATTTACTATGAGGATTAGACCTGAGCTTTGGTGGTGGTGGAAGGGGTGGGGATGCATGGTCAGCATGCTTTACAATTATCAGTACTCCAAACTTACCTTGAAGTTTAGCCCTGGGCTGTGGTGGTGGTGGAGGGGCTGGGGATGCATGGTGATCCTGTTTTACAATAGTCAGTTTTCCATACTTACTCTGAGGTTTAGCACTGGGCTGTGGTGGCGGTGGAGGGGCTGGGGATGCATGGTGATCCTGTTTTACAATAGTCAGTTTTCCATACTTACTCTGAGGTTTAGCCCTGGGTTGTGGTGGTGGTGGAGGGGGTGGGGATGAATGATGATCCTGTTTTACAATGGTCAGTTCTCCATAGATAGCTACAGTAATAGTATTGTACCATCCCTTTAAAATCAGCCCATCAGTTGGTACCTACAATACACAATTATTAACATTTTAACATTATTTACTATTATATACACTTTTTAAAAATAAGGAGCTGTGGTATGATTTCCAATGAGACAACTTTCCATCAGAGCCCAAATGTTGTAGATGTAAGAACTACTTCAGAATATAAACATTTACTTTAAGTGCTGTATTCAAACTCAACTTGTTTATCAATAATTATTACAAAATAAAATTAACTTTTGTCCATAACCTAAAACTACTAACACAGAAATTATGACTGTCTAGTTTTGCAGTCAAAGCAAATAAAACAGTAATTTGACCATCGCTCATTTTGCTGCATATAAATTAGAGTGGAAATCTCTGTTCAAGTACTTCCTAAACTTAACTAATTAGAAAACTTTAAATTCAACAATACAATTACTTCAAATTCAGTAGAGCATGATTCAAAATCATACTTTGTAATTTTAGAGATTTGTATACATGTATGGCACATCAAAATAGCATCTGACAGTATTTTATCATCTTAGGAATCATTTTAACTTTCAACTTCAAAGGATAAATTTGAAATTAAGTTTTCTTATGTATTGTATTTCAAATTTGTCTTTCCAGCTAAAAATAAAACTAATCTTTAACATAACTAATGCAAAAATGGCCACTCTCGTTTACAAGTTCATGCTTTTCCAATGAGAAATTTTTATAGAAATGTCCTGGCATAAAAAAGATGTAGTGTATATCATACAACCCTAAGCAATATCTAAGTCTCAACAAATATACATAAAGTGTATGGTACTTACCTCACTGTCAGTCTTTAGTTGGATATTTACATTTTCTTTGTATTCCAGTCTTATTATGAAAATAGAAACAATAAACTGTTATCACAGAGATATGTCTCGCCTTTTTGTAATTTTGATAATGCAAATGTTGAAATTAAAATAGCAATACTTTAACATGTAGGTTATGCAAATATTCAAAGTCAATGAACCATGACTAAAGGTACATGTATGGCTAAACAATCTCCATGGAAATGAGATGTGCCAATGCTAATTCAACTGCATACCAAATACCATTGACTTATCATAAGTCGTTCCCTTTAAACAAACCTAAACACAAACATTAACTTGTAAACTATGACAAGTTTCAAAGTCAATGAACCATGATGAGGGGGTGTGGCTATATAATCTCCATGGAAACGAGACTTGCAAATGGCAATAAATTTGCACACCAAATATCATTGATTTAACATTAGCGGTTCATCTTAAACTGATCTAATCACAAGCTAATATATGTAAACTAAGCAAAAGTTTCAAAGTCAATAGACCAAGACTGAGGGGGCGGGGCCAAATATTCTCCATGGAAATGAGATATGCTTATAAAACTGCATACCAATTAACATTGGCCTACCACTAATGGTTCCCCTTGAACTGACCTAATCACAAACTAATACATGTAAACTCAGCAAAAATTTCAAAGTCAATAGACCATGACTGAGGGGGCGGAGCCAAATAATCTCCATGGAAATGAGATATGCCAATGCTTATACAATTGCATACCAAATATCATTGACCTTAAACTAGTGGTTCCCCATAAACTGACCTAATCACAAACTAATACATGTAAACTAAGCAAAAGTTTCAAAGTCAATAATCTCCATGGAAATGAGATATGCCAATGCTTATACAATTGCATACCAAATATCATTGACCTTAAACTAGTGGTTCCCCATAAACTGACCTAATCACAAACTAATACATGTAAACCAAGCAAAAGTTTCAAAGTCAATAGACCATGACTGAGGGGGCAGGGTCAAATAATCTCCATGGAAATGAGATGTGCCAATGCTAATACAACTGCACACCAAATATCATTGACTTACCACCAGTGGTTCACCATAAACTAGACTGAATCACAAACTAATACATTGTTGATGCAGCCGGAAACTGCATACCTATGTCTCGCTTTTTGACTTTGTCAAGGCAAGACAAAAATCTAGCTTTTATTCTGTTCTGTTTAATTTAAAACCCATAAATATAAAATATATATCTACAAATCCAGTATTATGTTTCTAGATACATTTTCAAAATCTCTAAATGTGAGTTCTCCCTCTAGGGCAAATCTCTTACAGTTTTGCCACGAATTTGTTTCACATTGTTTTTCATATTCTATCTCACTTTAAATCAATTCATCCCAGAATACCATTGGCACATATGGCAAATATCTGATCTGCAATAAATTGGTTCAGTGTTACCACAACTCTATATTCCCTGTTGCATGTAAACCAAATTTTCACACACAATGTGTCACTGGGAATTCACAAAGTAAAATATTACTTGAAAATGGTGATGTATTAAAATGCTAGTGAAAAAGGGTGTTTTTGTCATTTTAAATTTTCTCGTCTGAAAATAAAATGGTAATGCATGCATTGAATTTACCCTTAAAATTCTCCCAATATGATTTTTTTCAATTTAAGACAATATTTAGAAATATCAAAAAAGTTTTTAAGTAATACCAGCAAAGTCATGAAAGTGTAACTGCAATCATGCTATGAATATGGTCATGCAAAGTAACATTTTTATTTCGTCTTAAAAATAGTTAAAATATTAGCTAACTTACACTCCAAGACTCTCAAATGTAGCTGCATTAGGTTTACTCAGGTTGTTGACAAACAGTTCTAATTTGAACACAGATGGATTAGTAGCCCTGAAATAAACAAAGAAAAATTAATAAAAAATGGAGAAGAATTACTTTAGCATGTTTAGGAGCTTTCCAGCATTTCAATGAATTTCAAAATTGAAGCTTTTCCTAGATCTATATACACATATAGATGTACTGGACCTGATTATGTCATGTCACAATTGTTAGTTAGTGTTTAATGCCACTTTAAACAGTGGCATTTGTTTGTTTGTCTTATTCACACATCGTTGTCAATATAATGGAATTTGATGTGACTGTCATACAAGTGAGAGGTTTAGCGTTATAAAACCAGGTTCAATCCACCATTTTCTACATAAGAAAATGCCTGTACCAAGTCAGGAATATGACAGTTGTTGTCCATTCGTTTGATGTGTTTGTGCTTTTGATTTTGCCATTTGATTAGGGACTCTCTGTTTTGAATTTTCCTCGGAGTTCAGTATATTTGTAATTTAACTTTTTTCAGCAACATTGGCTATATCATTTTGACAGGTTTTTATTGGCGGAGAAAGCTGAAGTTCCTGGAGAGAAGATCGAACCATCCAACATCTGCAGAAAAATTGGCAATCCTTGTTGATCATGTGTTTAATATGATTAGAGTAGAACATAGCTACTCCTCAGCAGGATTTGAAGTCTCAACATTTAAATTTGACAGGCTAATGATCAATGTTAATGAACTACATTTCAACATAATGATAACCTTTCACTTATTTGCAATTTCTTGCGACAAACATTGTAAATCTAGATTGTGCTGATTATGAATGTTTTGTGCTTTTATTCCCACTTTACACACTTTATTGTACTGTAGTGTATTTTCACTGTTTTTATTTGAGTGTATAAAGACCATGATATGCGAGATGTAAAGCTGTTTTTGGTACATGGTCAACAAACACTGAACATTGTGGTACCTGTTATAATATAAAATCTTGTTGTATTCAAGAGCAAGTATATAAGTCCCTAGTAAGAAGATCACTGCTCTGTTTGGGATCCATACTTACAACAAGACATAGATAGCATTGAAAAAGTTCAAAGGAGGGCTGCGCGCCTTGTTACCAACAAATACAGAAACACCTCAAGCGTTGGTAACATGTTACAACATCTTGAATGGCGCAGCCTCTCTGACAGAAGAAAAGACTCAAGATTGGTAATGCTTTATAAAATTGAACACGAAAAGGTTGCAATACCTAATAAAATGCTTCGCTGGGCGCAGCTTGATACGACCGCAGAGGTCGAACCCTGAACAGTTGGGGCAAGTATGGACACAACATTCAAGCTTGATACAGCTCTGAATTTGGATTGTGATTAAATATTTGACACAGCATAGGTTTCTGACACAGAAAGAATGTGGTCTAAGAACTTCAATTTTTTTAATTTACCTATTATGGTCCAATGTCAAAAATCAAAATACATGGTTAGATTCAGCATATCAAAGAACCCCATATATTCAATTTTTGTTGAAATCAAACAAAGTTTAATTTTGGACCCCAACTTGGACAAACTTGAAAACTGGTCCCATAATCAAAAATCTAAACACATGTTTAGATTCAGCATATCAAAGTACCCCAAGAATTCAATTTTTGTTAAAATCAAACTAAGTTTAATTTTGGACCCTTTTGACCTTAATGTAGACCAATTTAAAAAACAGGACCCAAAATTAAAAATCTAAATACACGGTTAGATTTGGCATATCAAAGAACCCCAATAATTCAATTTTTGATGAAATCAAACAAAGTTTAATTTTGGACCCTTTTGACCTCAATATGAACCAATTTGATAGCGGGCCCACAAAATAAAAAACCTAAATACATGGTAAGATTCAGCATATCAAAGAACCCCATATATTCAATTTTTGTTGAAATCAAACAAAGTTAAATTTTGGACCCCAATTTGGACCAACTTGAAAACTGGGCCAAAAATCTAAAATCTAAATACATGTTTAGATTCAGCATATCAAAGAACCCCATATATTCAATTTTTGTTGAAATCAAACAAAGTTTAATTTTGGACCCCAACTTGGACCAACTTGAAAACTGGTCCCATAATCAAAAATCTAAACACATGTTTAGATTCAGCATATCAAAGAACCCCAAAAATTCATTTTTTTTTAAAATCAAACTAAGTTTAATTTTGGACCCTTTGGACCTTAATGTAGACCAATTTAAAAAACGGGACCCAAAATTAAAAATCTAAATACACGGTTAGATTTGGCATATCAAAGAACCCCAATAATTCAATTTTTGATGAAATCAAACAAAGTTTAATTTTGGACCCTTTTGACCTCAATATGAACCAATTTGATAGCGGGCCCACAAATAAAAAATCTAAATACATGGTAAGATTCAGCATATCAAAGAACCCCATATATTCAATTTTTGTCGAAATCAAACAAAGTTTAATTTTGGACCCCAATTTGGACCAACTTGAAAACTGGGCCAAAATTCTAAAATCTAAATACATGTTTAGATTCAGCATATCAAAGAACCCCATATATTCAATTTTTGTTGAAATCAAACAAAGTTTAATTTTGGACCCCAACTTGGACCAACTTGAAAACTGGGCCCATAATCAAAAATCTAAACACATGTTTAGATTCAGCATATCAAAGAACCCCAAGAATTCAATTTTTGTTAAAATCAAACTAAGTTTAATTTTGGACCCTTTGGACCTTAATGTAGACCAATTTAAAAACAGGACCCAAAATTAAAAATCTAAATACACGGTTAGATTTGGCATATCAAAGAACCCCAATAATTCAATTTTTTATGAAATCAAACGAAGTTTAATTTTGGACCCTTTTGACCTCAATATGAACCAATTTGATAGGGGGTCCACAAATAAAAAATCTAAATACATGGTTAGATTCAGCATATCAAAGAACCCCATATATTAAATTTTTGTTGAAATCAAACAAAGTTTAATTTTGGACCCCAATTTGGACCAACTTGATAACGGGGCCCAAAAATCAAAAATCTAAATACATGGTTAGATTCAGCATATCAAAGAACCCCATATATTCAATTTTTGTTGAAAATCAAACAAAGTTTAATTTTGGACCCCGATTTGGACCAACTTGAAAACTGGGCCCATAATCAAAAATCTAAATACATGTTTAGATTCAGCATATCAAAGTACCCTAAAAATTCAATTTTTGTTAAAATCAAACTAAGTTTAATTTTGAACCCTTTTGACCTTAATGTAGACCAATTTGAAAACGGAACCAAAAATTAAGAATCTAAATACACGGTTAGATTCGGCATATCAAAGAACCCCAATAATTCAATTTTTGATGAAATCAAACAAAGTTAAATTTTGGACCCTTTGGACCTCAATGTGGACCAATTTAAAAACGGGGCCCAAAATCCAAAAACTTAATACACCGTTAGATTCAGCATATTAAAGAACCCCAAGAATTCAAGAATAAAACCCCATTGAAATTGATCAAGAAATAAGCAATTTATACGAAGTATCTTCTTTTGCACAATACTGTGCAATTGAATATTTCTTGCTATTGTGCAATACTGTACAATTGACAATTTCTTGCTATTGCGCAATATTGTGCTATTGGATATTTCTTGCTATTGCGCAATACTGTGCAATTGAAGATTTCTTGCTATTGTGCAATACTGTGCAATTGAAGATTTCTTGCAATTGTGCAATACTGTGCAATTGAAAATTTCTTGCTATTGCACAATACTTATTATATAATAATTTACACATCCTGTTTGGTGTGTATCTCCTACCATATTATTATTATTTGCTTTTAAATATTAATCAGAAATAACCAACTTAAAATGGAAAATTTTAAAAGAAAAAAAAAAGGAAAAAAAGAAAAAAAAAGAAAAAAAAAAATCCCCCCCCCAAATTTTTTGAACCCCCTTATGATTTATCACCCCCAAACTCAATCCCAGCCTTCCCTTTGTGGTATGGTACCTTGCAGTACAATTTCAGAGAGATCCATACACTTGAACACAAGTTATTGTCTGGAAACTAGAAAAATGCTTATTTTTGGCCCCTTTTTGGCCCCCAATTCCTAAACGTTTCGGGCAATTACCCCCAAACTCAATTCCAGCTTTCCCTTTGTGATATGGAACCTTGTAGTACAATTTCAGAAATATCCAAACACTTACACACAAGTTATTGTCATGAAACTAGAAAAATGCTTGTTTTTTGCCCCTTTTTTGGCCCCTAATTCCTAAAATTTTGAGGCAATTACCCCCAAAATCAATTACAGCCTTCCCTTTGTGATATGGAACCTTGTGGTACAATGTCAGAGAGATCCATACACTTACACACAAGTTATTGTCTGGAAGTTACAAAAATGCTTATTTTTGGCCCCTTTTTGGCCCCTAATTCCTTAACTGTTGGTACCATAACCCCCAAAATCAATCCCCACCTTCCTTTCGTGGTATTGAACCTTATGGTAAAATTTCATGGAGATCCATTCACTTAAACTAAAGTTAGAGTGCGAAAACCAATGTGTCTTCGGACGACGCCGGACGACGCCAGACGACGACGACGACGACGCCGCCAACGTCATACCAATATACGACCAAAAAATTTTCAATTTTTGCGGTCGTATAAAAATAATAAACTAATCCCACAAAAAAGACAAACAAGACATTCAAATTCGAACAGCTTCCAAATTCCATCCTGCAAAACACAGTACAGAAAAGAATCTGATTTTCCAAGAACTATTACCGACTGGAACAAACTACCGGACAACATTGTAAATTGCACTTCAGTAGACTCTTTCAAATCTTCAATTTCAAAGCATCAATATTAACTCAACTATTACATCATACTTAATTATACAAAGCATTTTTTTTTAATTTTTTTTCGTATTTTTTAAAGATTGTATACATGTATATATCAATCTATGTCTTGTTGTAAGTTTCCTCCTGTGACATAATCTTCAATTTGTTGAAGGCGGTCACTATATGGTAGAATAGAATAGAATAGAAGATTTGAAGTATTTCTTTTACTTATAATTTGAGAGTATATATGTATCTAATCATCATGATCATTGTTCCTTTATCTTTTACTTGATGTAGCTTACCCTAGCCTAACCCCTCCTGGTACATCTGCTTCTACTTTAGTTTGCAGTGGTATAACTCTGATTTCCTGAATAATAACTGGCCGTGGAAACTGTACCAAGTCTAAATTTAGCTCCTGTGAACAGAATTAATGAAAGTACATAAAAAGTCTTGTGTAGCAAAGTGTAGTATTAGCAGGCCAATATGTGTAAGCACTGACTATGGATGAAAATATATAATTTGATTTGGTAATGAGTTGCTCCCATAAAAAAGTCACACGTACACAACACAAATTGTGTAGCAGCAAAACTTTTATGAAATGGCTAAATCCCGTGTTTATTAAAATGTAAAATATGCTATATATTTATATTTCATGTAAAACTATGTTTCTTTCAAAACATATTGTTGCTTCATTTCTGGTTGGATTCTAATCAACTTGATACCAATAGAAGCCGAATTTTCACATGTTGATTTGCTTATTTGGTTATATATTTATTGTGAAGCTTTCTCATTTTCTGGAAATATAAACACAAAGTATAAATTTTTGTCTGGAGATTTGCTATATATTTCAAGCATATGACATTATCATTGTAAAAAATCGTCATACATGATCACATCAGTAGAAAGCAAAAACAACTGTAGACAAAATAAACAAATATACTCCTGACAATTCTGGATTTTTCAACACATGGTTTGTAAAAATTCTAAACCATAAATGCCTTCAAAATATTTTTGTTTTAATGTGTTATAATATCATGTATATGAAATAGATAGAAAAAATGTTAGGTGAAATACTTATTGCATAACAATGTAGGTACGTAATTTCATTAAAAAAAAGTCTTATGGAACAATATATATACACTGACAAGCTTCACAAGGGTGGTAAACATTCAAATTGGTGTAAATTTGTGTAACCTGAACCAAAGTCACAATTCCTTATGTTTAAACATAGGAAAAATCTGTAGCTCTATGATCTGCAAATACAAAAAAAAATTCCAAGACGTACCATACAGTAAGAGAAAATTATTGGTCGACAACATTTAATCACAAAAGGGACTGTTGAACACGCAAAGTAATATGCATATAAGCTGGGCTTTGTAAAATTATTCTAAAATGCTTAAATGGGATGATGCTTGGACACCAATCCAGCAATCCGACCAAATAGGATAAAATTCAATAATTTGATCCAGTTACATTTAAAAAAAATTAAAAAAAATTAATAACACACGTTAAATACAACTATTCTTTGTTGCATTTAATAGATTTATACACAAAAGACAGCTATGTCACTGTGTGTGTTTGAGATTGCAAATACTGCATTCAGTTTTAATCATATACCTCAGCGCTTTCGTGAGAAAAGGTGTCAAAAAATAACAACTCGGGTTCCTGCCCGGTGTCAGCCATTTTTATGTAAATAAGAAATTTAAAACGAAGATGGATCGGTACAGTAAATCCGGAACTAGACATGTATGCTTTTGCTGACGTCCCCTTATTTACATATAAAAAGTTAAAAGGAATATGCTACAAATAACTAATATTTAAAAACAAGATCATTCAAATCGCTATCTGCTAATTTTAAAAAATATTTCTTTGGAAATTTATTTGTTCACGATCCGGCATTCAAATTTTATGAAGAAAACTTTCCATTATGCAGACACCATATTATGGAATTTTTACCATCTTGTACAAAAAGTGTGGAAACTATTAATACTTTTAAAGACAGGTATACAGCATACAATTAATACATACTATCGAACAAGAAAATCAATGAATCAGCTTCATGATTTCCGGCACAAACTGTATATAATCTGGGGCTAATACATTTATCTATTAGTCCCAGATATAATAAAGTGTAGTTTTGTAATGGTAAGTATTTTATTTAAGTTGGGTTTTCGTTGTTTACAATCAACATAAAAACATGAAGAAGAAGAAAAAGAAGTAAATATTAATTGAGAATTATTGTTTGAGAGTCTTGGGGAAGATTAGCGTAAGTGTTGCTAATCGTGCTACCCCCAATCTAATTAAAATTAAATCTCCGCACTTGCTCCTCGTTGTTTATATGTCGCGCGTGGGAGCTCCCACGCGCGACATATAAACAACGAGGAGCAAGTGCGGAGATTTAATTTTAATTAGATTGTGCTACCCCGCTCTTAAAATTGAGTATTTACTTACTTAATTACTTACAACACGAATAACTACTGAGACATATTTAAAGCATTTAGTTACATGATGGCAAACTGTTGACGTTACAATATTTTTGTGGTAAAATTATATTCTAATTGTTCTAGTCCTTAAACAAACTTGAAGTCGTGAACTTTAAATCACGAAACACTTGATTATTTCATAACGTTTTCAAAATAGCTGCCTTTCGAAAAAGGTTCTAAATTTTTCTGAATTCGAAATAATTCATACTTCGTTTCAACATGGATTATATTTGTCAATATTTTACAACTCGCACACAGTATACGATAACAACAAAAACAATAAGTTAAAATAAGCATAGATAACATGAATGAAATATTTCCCAATTAAACATAATACGCTATTGTATGTAAATGTTTGTTCCAATCATTGCTTTAGATGCCCTCATAGGTCCCTTATTTTGAGAATAGATATTCTACTTCTTCATTGTCGAAATTAACTATTAAAACCACAAACGGACAAATGATAAGAAAACCCAGAACAAGCAAAATCAAAATACAAAATAAATACTAAAGAACATTAACTCCTGAAGTTGATAAGTATTCAAGTAAACCAATTGCAAAGGCGGTTATCATTAAGAGAAAGCAAAACACAAAATTACTTAATCGTATGAAGAACATCTAAATTTTAATTGAATAATATATAAAAAGGATAACAGGATTGACCAAAAATATTTGATAGTGCAACAGACCACACCAAAAGCAGTTTGGATGTTCAGTTTTTATTTTTTTATAATGTTTTGTTGACTTGTTTGTCTTTACGTCATCTTTCGTTTTTTGTCATGGCCTTGTCAGTTTGAATTCCCCTTCTGTATTTTCCACCTCTTTTTTTTATTTTTTTTTCATTTGGAGAATTTAGTTTTGATTGTAGAACTTTGATAAACTCTGTTTTAATCGCAACCTTTTGTAGACTCGGGTGATGTAGAGCTTACCATAGTGTCTACTGTTGAAGACATTCGGTTATTTGTGTCTTTGGGTACCACTACTGTTTCATATTGACGTATACACTACATCTCTTTATATTAATACTATAGAGATTTTTCAGATATGATTTGCATTGTAAGTGTTGCAATGCCAATGGCCGATAACTGGGGGCGGGGTACATTATAGAATGCAACCTACTAGTACTAGTATTAATGCGTCTATCCAATGATTGATGACATCGATGACGTTTTGCTTTTATTTTTGGGATGTTGCATTAATCAATGTGAAAACATTAGGTATTATTTTTGACATATGTATATATATATAGCTTTGCTTGAATTATGAGAAAATCTAGTATAGTATCCCGGAGATATTTTGTAAAGATTTCAAGATATTTTTTCCTGTAACATGCGGAAAACAATTATTAAAGCATTTTATAACATTTGACAAGATGAATTTATTGTGATGTTTACATTAGTTTACACTACTGGTTGAAGAAGGCAAATACTTTTCTTTGATAATTATCAAAAAATATTTCTACATAAAAACTTATTTTCCAAAGATAGATTTTTTCTGAAGTTTCGACAAACTCACCATTTATGGTTATAGGTATAGTAACTCAGTCGTAAAGCCTTACAAAAATAAATGAAGCGTGGAATGGACGTCACATTGCCTAACTTTTACCTGGATAAGGACCTACTCCAAAATTCATAATTAACAAAGTTTAGATAATCCCATTACTTGAACTTACTGAGATAAGGCCTTGCAGTCATAAAAATTTCGAGCACGATTATAGTACTCAGACTCAGAAATCAACCAATCAAAATACTGTATTTGGTGTTTCGAGCACAAATTTTGTACTCCGAGTACGGAGTCAAGTTTTATGACCGACACCCACGGTCTTGGACGTAGGGCATTCACAACGTCAGTAAAGCGTGAATTTTGTCAGGAAATTGACCTACTTCGCAAAATGCACATTTGCACAAATTTAAATATATAACTCATATATAGTTACAGAGATATGAGCAAAGACGTCAACTAAACCAAAGTCAATGAAAAGTGAAATGTAGTTCACAGTGACCCACTATTATCTGGATGCTAACCTACTCCAAATAATGATAATGTATATTTAGACAAGTTGACATGATTCCATTACTTATGAACTCGGTCATAAAACTTAATTAACCAACATTAACTCTGGCGTAAACATTCAAAGTCTATGAACAAATATGTGTACCTGCAACATAATGTTAGATTAGGTTTATTCATGTTTATTAGATGTACAAAAATACAATATTATTGACCTGCTAGATACCGACATCAGGCTGGAGATGCATTACATGTAGGGCACATGGACACTGAAAGTATGGAAACTTCATTAACTTTTTTGAAACAAATAAAAAAATGAACGAGTCAATTGTTCTTTATTATTTTCCTGTATCAGATAAAACTTTTTTCCAAACCACGGTCAAAGGTTAAGTGTTCAATCGAATTTTGTCCGGTTAAACTGGACGTGAAACAGAACAGTTTTATTTGAAAAGTTTCAAATTGTGATGACATATAAATAAGGAAAAAATTAAACTAATTTTATGGAACTTGTACCTTGTGTTTTTGTCGCTGCACACAGAAGTGAGTATTTATTATCTATAGTAGACCAAATAAAATTTTAATCATATAAAACCTAAGGCTAAAGTTTAATGTAAAATCTAAAGCAATTGTGAGGGCTATATATGAAAAATCATCAAAGAAAACTGGTTTATAATTTTCCGGGTACGCCAGACACACAATTCGATTATATAAAACTAATCAGTGGCGCTCGAAACAAACTAACAACAGTTGGAAGGCCGAATCAAATACGAAGTTGAAGAGCATAAAAAACGAAATTTTTGAAAAGTTGTGCCAAATACGGCTAAGCCAATTTTGTCTGCGGGTAGAAAAATCTTAGTTTTATAAACAGTTTTTTTTACAGAAAATGAACATGTTAATGATATTTCATAGATATAAGAAGATGTGGTATGAGTGCCAAAGAGACAACTCTCCATCCAAGTCACAATTTGTAAAAGTAAACCATTATAGGTCAAAGTACGGCCTTCAACACGGAGCATTGGCTCACACCGAACAGCAAGCTATAAAGGGCCCCAAAATGACTAGTGTAAAACCATTCAAAAAGGAAAACCAACGATCTAATCTATATAAAAAACGAGAAACGAGAAACACTTATGCAACTGAAATACTTACATTTATGAAAAAATACCAATATTAGCAGGGACCAAATCCATATACTTATGGATTTATACCAATCAATGATTTAAGAACTGTGGAAGTCAGCAAATACCATCAAATCATTTAAGAATCCTCTTGAAACGTTCTATAATATAGACCAAACAAGATACTACGAAGATCGTACTTATATCATTGTTGAAATATGACTACATGTACTCCATGATGCGTTCAGAAAAAAAATATACATATAATAGTTTTATCTTGGTAGCAACTAATAAATGCACTATAAATACAAGAATAATTAATTCAAGATTTCAATAAGTTTATTTTTTTTTCACTTTAAACATCTACATTTATCCTGAAAAAAATGTTTTAAGTGAATTTCTATTAAATTTATTGTTTAATAGCTTTTTTTCTTTTTTTTCAGAGGTATGACAGCCATATCGAAGCAGATTTACCAGTTCCTGTGTGATGAAGTTGTTGGATCAGAAAGAGTTGTGAAGTATAGAAGACTTTTCTTTAAAACATACGAATACGCACAAAATAAATTCTGCTCGCCTAGTAAATATATAATTGCAAGTGGAAGTAAAGCCGAGGGACTTGATCTACCGGGGAGCGATCTTGATATAATGCTTGTTTCAAAAGTACATGTCGTACATGAAGCAACACAACAACTGGGAGATAAATCAGTAAATGATAATATTCTTTCTCTGATAATTGATTATGATAATGCACAACCTGGATTCGTTCTACTTAAACTACACGAAAGGCCACACAACGACTTTGAAGACAGCTTAATATTGAGAAGCGAGGGTGGACTATTCTTTTCAAGCAATCTTTATTTACAAAATCTTGCTTCGAAATATCCGTTTTCTCATATATCAATAAACGGGCCATGTCTAAGTAATACATATAGAGACCATGGTGACTTGGATGTAGCTCATTCATTGAAATGCCAGAAATGGCCGACATCAGCTAGTAAATGGTTAATTAGACATCGGTCCTCTGGGTGGCCATCTTCCATACTAATTTCCGAGATTGCCAAAGAATCTGTTC